TTTTTTTTTTTTTTTTTTTTTTTTGAGACGGAGTCTTGCTGTGTTGTTCTTGCTGTGTTGTTGCCCAGGCTGGAGTGCAGTGGCACAATCTTAGCTCACTGCAACCTCCGCCTCCCAGGTTCAAACAGTTCTCCTGTCTCAGCCCCCTGAGTAATTGGGACTACAGGCTTCCACCACCATGCCCAGCTAATTTTTGTATTTTTAGTAGAGATGGGGTTTTACCATATTGGTCAGGCTGGTCTCAAACTCCTGATCTCAGGTGATCCACCCGGCTTGGCCTCCCAATAAGCTAGGATTACAGGCATGAGCCACTTCGTCCAGCCTACCCTCTCAATATTTTAGGGAGATTCTGGTTTTCCTTCCAGGGAGTATTCATTTGCCAATGAGTTTGTGTTGCTACAAAGTTTTCTGCTAAAATTCAAGACGTTGTTTATCAACTTAATAAGCACAAGCATGTTACCAAAGGCAAATAGGATTTTACCCTTAAATGATTTAGTACATATTATTATTTCACTTAAAAAACACCCTAATATGTCTATTTCCACATAGGTAAATTATGACAAAGATGATATTGATGAAGAGAGGAACTATTTCTGTGTCAAAACCAGCCCCAAACTTACTGGTGTGAAAAAGGCAAAACAACCACATTTTTTTTTTTTTTTTATAGATCTGTGGGTTGGCTGGGCAATTTGGTAGGCGTCTCTGGGACTCACTCAGGCTTACTAATGCCTTGAATTCAGATGATGGCTGGATGTCCAGAATGGCCCAACCCGCCTATTGGACTGCTTATGTCGCTGTCAGCCGCAATTCCTTGGTTCTTTTCCATGTGGCCTTTCATCCTCTGTGAGGCTAGAATTATGGCCTGGCAGTCTCAGGGCAGGACTCAGTGATAACCAAGTCTGCTGCAAAGGCACTCGTTAAACGGCTGCTTGCTTCACTTTCGTCAACGTGATGTTGGCCCAAGACAAGTCATATGGCCAAGCTGAGAGTCATGTGAGAGTGAGTTTAGGTACCATTTCTTCATGGGAGGAATGATAAGGGGTTTGGGCTGATTTGGCTGTTGTTTATCTGCAGTGTAAGTTTCCCCACTCTTCTTCTAAAAACCTATTCTTTTTCTTTTGTAAATGAATTATCATCCCAAATTGGAAAAGTATTGCCTGGCCCCTGATTCTGGCATGGCTGACATGGAGGTATTCTATAGAAAGAAAAATCATCCATTACTACAGACATCCAAAACTAGCCAATATTGTAATTTGCATTCATATTCCAAACTAAAACTTGTGTTGAGAGAGAAGAGGTGAAATGGACAGAAACAGAGGAAAAGGGAGCTAAGAGCTTTACATTAGTGTCTAGAAATGAATTTTACACTGAGAAATAATAGCACAAGAATGATGGACAAGGTCATAGCATGTGATACAATAAAATGGTTATAATGAAAACCAAAATGGGACAGGCGTGGTGGCTGACGCCTGTAATCCCAGCACTTCGGGAGGCTGAGGCGGTGGATCACCTGAGGTCAAGAGTTCGAGACTGGCCTGACCAATATGGTGAAACCCTGTTCCCCCTCCCCAAAAAAAACAAACCCATAATGATACAAAAAGTACATATATTTACATGAGGCTTTGTAATTTAGAGAACATTTGCATCTGTCTTTAATCACATTTGTCTTCATGGTAAGTATATAAAGTACTCAAGATGATACTGATTTCCATTTGTCAGTTGATTAAACTAAAATTCAGAGAGCTTCATTAACCTGTCCAAGGTCCTAATACCATTAAATGAAGAACCAGGATCTAAGAATTCTGAGAACCAGCCTTGCTCTCGTTCTGTGGTAAAACTTCATGCAAAGAATAAACAAGGAAATAAGCGTCAGGAAATGAGTTTTGAAACTTTATCAAACAAAGTATATTCTAAGCAAAGAAATTAATGGCCTTTTTTTGTTTATTGTTTGTTTTAGTAGTAATTGATAGAAATATAACGTGGGATAGGATTTATTCTCTCCATACTTCTGAACCAATGAACAGAAAATGGGAAACAAAACTGAAGCAAATTGAAGAACGAGCATCTCAGTATGAGAGGAAACCATTGTCCTCAGTGTATAGGCCAAGATTGTCCAAGCCAGAAGAACCACCCTCCATTTGGAAACTATTTCATCGACAAACTCAAGCTTTTAATTTTGTTAAAAGCTGTAAAGAGGTAATTTCCTCCTTCTCTTCCTCCTCTCTTTCTTTCTTCTTCATTATAATTTCAGTTCTTTTTAAAAAAAAAAAAATCTATTATTTGTCTTCATTTCAGGCCATGTATTATTCTACCAAGAGAATTTAATGGCAATCTTAATGTCACATGATTTAGGAAAACTATCTCTGTGAATCATTAACCATTTAATTTATATTAGTAATGAAAAAGAGTGACACATCCAGTGCCAATTCGATTTTTAAAGTTGTAATGACATTTAAATGAAGCTTTATGCTTAGAGGGAGGGGAACCATATTTATTTCAACACATTAAGCGAGTGGAAGGAAGAAGTGTCAGCCTTTCAAAGAACACGATGTTCAAAAATAAAAATCACTAAATCAAGCAAGTGTATTACACATTCTTTTTTTCTTGGGCACTGTGAAGAATATAAAGAAATATGAAGGCCAGGCGCGGTGGCTCACCCATGTAATCCCAGCACTTTGGGAGGCCGGGAAGGGCAGATCACAAGGTCAAGAGATCCAGACCATCCTGGCCAACTTGGTGAAACCCTGTCCCTGCTAAAAATACAAAAATTAGCTGGGCATGGTGGCTTGTGCCTGTAGTCCCAGCCACTTGGGAGGCTGAGGCAGGACAATCGCTTGAGCCCGGTAAGTGGAGGTCGCAGTGAGCCGAGATGGTGCCGCTGCACTCCAGCCTGGGCAACAGAGAGAGACTCCATCTTAAAAAATAAAAAAAAAAAGAAACACGAAAGAAAAGATCAGATGCATATATGATAGCATAAATGTACTGAGTCTGATCACTGATGCTGTGTAAAAGCTCCAAGTGCTAGAAGTTTTAGAAGGACCTCTCTTTCTCTAGTAAGGATATACTTACTCAAATCTCATCAGAATGGTTTAAGAAATGCCTTTCTTAGTCATTTTGTGTAAACCTAATTCAAGCAGCAGAAATTAAAATACCGACAGATTCATTTAAACTAGAATTTTAAAAATATATAGATCGGGGTGTATGCTTGCTGGACTTGCTAATCATCAGTCTATAACATTTATTTCAAAAATATTTTTATTAGGGTTAAACAACTGAGTCCTGTGATTTTTCACACATGAAAAGAAAAATACGCTCAGCAGCTACCTTTAGCTACAAGGAAACAAAAGAACTGGTGGATGTATTCCTCTATTAGAAGAAACTTTATCGCAGGAGGCATGAACAATCATATTTAAACCACTACCACAGTACTAAACCTTTAAAAAAATTGTTCTGACTGGGCACAGTGGCTCAGTGCCTAATCTTAGCACTTTGGGAGGCTGAGGCAGGTGGATGACTTGAGGTTAGGAGTTTGAGACCAGCCTGGCCAACATGGTGAAACCTTATCTTTACGAAAAATACAAAAAATTAGTCAGGTGTGGTGGCAGGCACCTGTAATCCCCGCTACTTGGGAGGCAGAGGCAGGAGAATCACTTGATGGAGGTGGAGGTTGCAGTGAGCCAAGATTGCACCACTGCACTCTAGCCTGGGCGACAGAGCGAGACTCTGTCTCAAAAAAAGAAAAAGAAAAAAGGTTCTACATACATTTTTATAGATACTAGGGAATTTACTAATTAATTTTAGCCCAAATCATTTATAGTAATAAGTAGTTTTGAAAAATGTTTAATTTCATAAACCAAGAAATAAAACTATCATAGGGAGTCAAACTAGAGTAATATTTTTCAGAGTGTTCTTTTCTCCTTTTTTCTCTGGTCTGCCTATTCTAATTGTTTTCACCTTTTATATGAATGACCAAAAATAGGTATAAATAATTAGATTTTGAATGGCATAAACCTAGTAACTATTTGTCTTGTTTGTAATAATATAGATGTTCAAATTTCCAGTTTCTGAGGACTTGAATGAAAAATTCTTTGTGAACACTGAGCAACTACAGTTGAATTTAGGTTTGCATTTTGTGAATTCTTCTGAATTCTTTTTTGATTTATGTAGGATGTTCATGTATTTGCCTTGGAATGCAAAGTGGGAGATGGACAGCGTATTTACCTTGTGACAACCTATGCTGAACTTTGGTTTTACTATAAATCCAGGTAGGTAGCATGCAGCAGAACCGCACATTAAGCTAGAGTTCCATTTCCTTTGCCTAGTAATTTTGGCGAAATTAGTTCAGGCTGAATTGGCTTCCACAGTTCTTGACCACACAATTAGTTGCTCCTTTGCTATTAGAATTGAATTCTGGAGTTCTCTTGTCATAGCAATGCTGGAGTATCTCACGAGGTGCTGGGAGAAAATAGTCACATACACGAATGTATGTGTGTACCTAAAGGGAGTTTTGAAATTTCTCTTTTGCAAACAGGTATTAAATTGTACCATTAATCATAAAGGAATATTTATGTTATTGACCTAGTAATAAAGAAATATCTGCTTTATCTTGACTTTATTATGACTATTTTAAATTGTTATTAGCGTTATTTATTTATTTTTTATTTTTTTGAGATGGAGTTTCACTCTTGTTGCCCAGACTGGAGTGCAGTGGCATGGTCTCTGCTCACTGCAACCACCACTTCCCAGGTTCGAGTGATTCTGCTGCCTCAGCTTCCCAACTAGCTGGGATTACAGGTGCTTGCCACTATGCCCGGCTCATTTTTATATTTTTGGTAGAGACGGGGTTTCACCATGTTGTCCAGGCTGGTCTTGAACTCCTGGCCTCAGATGATCCACCCACCTGGGCCTCCCAAAGTGCTGGGATTACAGGCATGAGCCACTGCACCCAGACTATTATTTTAACTGAGTGATCTATTCAAGTATTTCTCAGACTTGTGTAATATATGGAAAAGGAGAGTAAATTGCTATGCATGCCCTATATTGACTTAAAATACTTTTATTCAAATGTTGCTAAGTAGCTTCAAATATGATACTGGATTTATTTATGTTTATATACATGCAACACCAATTAGAGTTGAATTAAAATCATTAAGATAACGTGACAGATGTTTTGCTGAAACTCAGTCTCATCTTGCAATGTAAATATGGTACTGACTGCTGCAGGTACAGGGTGTGTGTGTGTGTGTGTGTGTGTGTGTGTGTGTGTGTGTGTGTATGTGTATGTGTTCAGTTCCTCCACTACCTGTGCCCCCGATGATACAATTTTCCCGTAACTTCTCCCTCTTCAACTGCTACAGGGGGGGGTGTGTGTGTGTGTGTGTGTGTGTGTGTGTGTGTGTGTTCAGTTCAGTTCCTCCACTACCTGTGCCCCCTGATGATACAATTTTCCCATAACTTCTCCCTCTTCAAATTACTACAAGCCCTTAATTTGTATAGGATGCCATCTGAACGTCACTTAGCCCAAATTACCATTTGTAAATTAAGTCAGCATCTCTTCCTGTTTTACCCATGTCAAAGTCATTCCTCTTAATTCCGGCAAGAATGTAACTGCAGACATGAGCACTGAAAGCTTATCAAAGTGATTCAGAATTTTTTAAACTATTTTTAAAATATTATCTTCCAATGAAAACACAGAATTTAAAAATTCTCATGGAAAATTCATGGAATCCCAAGAATATGGAATCCTGAAAAGAACATTCTTTTTTCAAAGAATGTTCAGATTTTCAAAGAAAATCTGTTTCATGGTTGACACTAAAAACAAATACAGAGGTGTTACACAATATCAGAATCATCTGTGAATAAATAATACTGTAAGATTGACTATATTTTCCAGTTAAATAATGTTACATGATATAATTGTTACATTTTGCTTGATGGAAACCCTTGATACTATCAGCCATAAAGCTATGGTGAACAGTTGAGTTTATCATGTTCTTATTTCACACTTGTATGTAGTGAAAGCACAGTTAACGTGGTACTTGCAAAAGATAAACTTCCATGATTTAACAGGTATAAGTTAGAGGCTGGGTGTGGTGGCTCATGCCTGTAATCCCAGCACTTTGGAAGGCTGGGGCAGGTGGATCATTGAGGCCAGGAGTTTAAGACCAGCCTGGCCAACATGACATAAACCCTGTCTCTATTAAAAATGCAAAAATTAGCCAGACGTGGTGGCGCATGCCTGTAGTTCCAGCTACTTGAGAGGCTGAGGTGGGAGAATCACTTGAATCCGGGAGGAGGAGGTTGCAGTGAACTGTGATAACATCACTGCAGTCCAGCCTGGGCAACAGAGCTGACTTGGTCTCAATCAATCAGTTAATAAAGGTCTAAGATATCAATCTAACAATGTTGAATTATTCAATTTAGAAAAAATCTCTTACACTGCTATGAAGTTATTCCTGAAAATGCTGTGTGCAAGCTTTATTTTGATTTGGAATTTAACAAACCTGCCAATCCAGGAGCTGATGGGAAAAAGATGGTTGCATTACTCATTGAGGTAAATGGCAGACTCAAGTTTTCCTTATTTCTCATCTCTTCCTTGGCTTATTCATTCAGTGAATTCAGCCTACATAATATGTAGGTTCTGTATCTGTTCTTTTTCTTGCTACTCTTCCTTTTGACTTTGATTTTTTAATATTAGTCCTATGAGTAAACTGAAAAAAAAGGAAAGTTTAATTTATGTTCATATAGTTTGCTATATTACTGTCGGATTAAAAAAAGCTTTGAAAAAGATGTCAGTTTGGAAATTTTCCATATTTTAAAATTATGTATTAATTATCTGACTTCCATTATAAATAGCTGACTTTGGTAAAAGCCAGGAAAAATAATCTTTACTGTAAAAATTGGGCACTGAGATGAATTTCAAGAAAACTGACTACAAATAGTATCAGAATTTTTGAGCTTGCAGGAATTTTGGAAATTATTTTATCTTGTCCCTTTCTAAATGAGGAAATTAAGGCCTGCTTTTTAAAAATCATGGAGTTGTGGCCGGGCATGGTGGCTCACGCCTGTAATCCAAGCACTTTGGAGGCCAAGGTGGGTGGATCACCTGAGGTCGGGAGTTCAAGACCAGCCTGACCAACATGGTGAAACCCCATCTTTAAAAAAAAAAAAAAAAAAAAAGGCACGGAGTTGTATTCAAAACCCTTATGTTCTTATTTCTCTTAAAATTTTGTGCATACTCACCAAGTTTTCTGGTCATTAACTTATCCTAAAAAATGCATTGTGGGCCGGCTGCAGTTGGCTCATGCCTGCAATCCCAGCACTTTGGGGAGCCAAGGTGGGAGGATCGCTTGAGGCTAGGAGTTTGAGACCAGCCTGGCCAACTTGATGAAACCCTGTATGTACTAAAAATACAAAAATTAGCTGGGCATGGTGGTGCATGCCTGTAGTCCCAGCTACTTGGGATGCTGAGGCACAAGGATTGCTTGAACCCAGGAGGCAGAGATTGCAGTGAGCCAAGATCACACCATTGCAATCCAGCCTAGGCAACAGAGTGAGACCCTGTCTCAAAAAAAAAAAAAAAATTATTTGCATTTTACTTGTGTTTTTTAGTATGTGTGTAAAGCGCTTCAAGAATTATACAGTGTTAATTGCTCAGCTGAAGATGTTTTGAACTTGGATTCTAGTACTGATGAAAAATTCAGCCGGCATTTAATATTTCAGCTCCGTGATGTGGCATTTAAAGATAACATTCATGTTGGTAAGTACACTGCTTTTTAAAAATCATGGAGTTGTATTCAAAACTCATATGTTCTTATTTCTCTTAAAATTTTGTGCATACTTACCAAGCTTTATGGTCATTAACTTATCCTAAAAAATGCAATGTGATTCTTCATGTTTTCAAGACGTTCCCTTAGCTTTAGACCTATCTATCTGTTCTAGGCACATCAACCTATTCAGGACATCTTTGGCCTTAGCCCTTCTAATCATAGTTACTGGGATATCTATCCATGCCCAGAACTGGTTTCTGCTCCAGCAGGATTTATTTCAGTGTCCTGGAAAGTTCATGAGAGGCCATTCCATTTCAAACCTTTTCTGCAGTATCTTGTATCTGGATTTCTGGCCTTTGCTTCAGCCTTGCTTTGGGGCTTCAGTCCCAGGTTGTATCAGAGAAGTCTTGTTTATTGTTCCAGGCTGAGCTTTAGGGTTGGGAGAATTCTAGATGTAAAAGTCTAAAAGTGAAACCAGATTGTCTCAGGCCTGGGCATTTAGAGATACAGGCCAAGGTGTAAAACAAAGTCAGTTCAAAGGAGAAACACGTAGGCAGAATGGGAACACCAAAATGAAGGTCTGAATAGAAGCCAAATCCTGAGTGCTTTATCAAAGCAGGGCTAGGGCAAGGGTCTGAACAGCAGGTGATTGACTGAAGTTCAGGTAACAAGTCATTTGGTTCAGAGCTACTAGTGCTTTAGAGTTTCACAGCCATGGACATAGTCACTAAAGCACTGGCATCAAAGTCGGGACCCTGATTGCTGGATTAGGGGAATGTGGCCGCAGAGAGCCAGCATACTGTGTTCACAAGGCTCTCGTCACCTGCCTGTTTCTTGTTAGCTCAGCTGGACGTCCCGTCTCAGTCTCTCCCCCTCATTCTGTGAGGAACACACTCACTCGTACAAACTCAAAGAATGGACTTAGAGGCACGAAGAACAGTGAAGTGAGACTTTTAATAATGATTGGGTGTCTGGTAGGCAGGCACAGCTGGGACAGTTACAGCATGTAATTTATTTCCTAGCACGCAAGTCCCTCCCCCAGTTCCTCATTGGTCGAGTACTATGGGGTTGCGTTGCCTAAGTTTCATTATGCCCCTTATAAGGCTACACCCCATCTCCATCCCTACTTAAGTTTATATTTCACAATAACAAAACTTTCTTCCTTTTTATGGGAGGAACCCCCCCTACATTCTGTTCACTTATGGTGACTTTCTAGGTGCGTGAGCCGTGTGGTTTGTTACCTTTGCAGGCTGCCTGCGAATACTTAGATTTATCATGCCTTGAAAATAGACCATTTAAAACGTTTTCTCACAATCCTGTAGAGATTAGTAATGGTAGAGTCCATCTTTGACCCTCTTCCCACTCTGTCTTCACCCTTGATGATCAGCCACCTTCACGGCTTTGGTGTGCCTCTGTGTTACGACTCTCAAATCTTTGTCTTCAGCCCAGATTGTTCTCCTAGATGCCAGACCCATCCAGGCAACCGCCTCCAAAAACTCCCCTGCAGACGCTTCCAACTCAGCGTGTCCTGCGCCGAGTTCCCCATCCTTCCCCAGAGTCGTATCTTCTCCGTGATGTGCTTGTCAGTGAGTGGTGTCACAGTTACCCAAGTAGATACGTTGGTGTCATCCATGCCCTCTCTGTGCCTGTAACCCTGCTTAGCCAGTCAGCTGGCTAGAGTGAGCTGATTCTGCTCCCTGTGCGCCTCAAACCCTGCAGTGATTATTCCCTGCCTTCGGGCAAAAGCGTGGATGCCTTGGCCTGCAAAGGGAGCCCCACTGTGCGCCATACTTACCTCCTGCCACCCTGCTCCTTGCATTGAGCTCCTGCCCTAGGCCCCATTTCCTCTAGTCCTTGGGCCTTTGACCTTATTGATGCTGCTCTCTAAATCGTGTGCCTCCAGATTGGCCTGGCCCGTAAGACTCTGTGTAGACATCAAGCCACGTGAAAAGCTGTCTCTGTCACGTCTCAAACTCTAAGCCTTACTTAGGCTGGTGTACCTCTGGGTTGCAGAGAACATCCAGGGCTTATTGTGTCAAAGCATTGACCACTTCCTGAGGTCATTTCCTGTTTTCTTTGTCACCTCCTCTATTCTACTTAATGTTTCTCTAGGGCAGGGACTATTTCTTATTCACTTTTGTATTTCCAGAGCTTAGCACATAATACAAATTTCATTATCAATAATATTACTAATATTGTCACTATAAGAATAACAGTAGAGATAATAAATGCAAGTCAGCAGCCTCATCTCCTGCCACCCTGCCCTTTTCTTTCAGCTCCCAGCACGGGCCACATTTTCTCTAGTGCTTGGGCCTTCGCACTTTCTGATGCTGCTGTGTAAATCGATGTGCCTGCAGATTCACCTGGTCTGTTCACCTGGTCCTCCTTACCACTCATGCATTCATTCAGAAGGTATTGATAAATGCCTTTAGGGACTTGTCCCAGGGCTGTACAACCAAGGCTTTTAAGCAGTTACCTGTGCCAGGTACTGTGCTAACCCCTTAATTTCATTTTCTCGTTTACTCCTTACAGCAACTCCAAAAGGTAGGTGCTGTTATCATCCCCGTTAAGCAGCTGGGGAATGTGAAGGTTTAGATTTGACAAAAGTCACAGAACTGGTAGATGGCAAAGCCATACCTGAATCTGAGTTGTCTCTGACTCCACCCCCCGGTTGTTGCCTTTCTACCATCCATGGCCTTCATGTTCAGCGTGTCTGAATAAATCCCTTCTGAATGAATGCATGAATAGTGAGGAGATACTCCTGTCAGGGTGTGGAGACAAGGACCAAAGAAGCTATTTCTTTGCTTGCTGTTTACTGGTCATTGTCTGCACTATGACTACTGGCTACAGGCCGAAAGCTAAGACTCTCTTGGTCAGGGCGGAGAGGAGAATAGAAACTTGTGAGGTAGCAGCGGTTTCTGCTACAAGTATCTTCTGAAAGCAGATGGCATTCATCTGGGCTTTGAATATTTCATTGTATAGTCAAAGGTCAGAAAGGCTTTACCAGCAGAAGCAAAACTATGGCGATAAGAGTGCGTGCTAATCTGGGGACAGTGAATGGGCTGGCGTGGCTAGAGAGACGTGATCAGGCCTTGTACCTGGGCTGTCGCCTCAGACCCTTTCCCTGGGAATCGGGAACTGCCAGAGCCAGAGGTGCAGAGAATATGAAGTAATTCACAAATTTTCCTTGTTTTCTTCCCTCACTGTATCTTTTGATGACATTTCTAGTTGCTGTTGTCAGCCTTTGAGAAAAGAGAAATCAGTTAAATGTAAGAGATCATAGATCTTGATCTGCCTAAAATACTCACTTGCCAGTTTGCTGTCATAGCTGAAATTTCTGTGACTGACTAGCCTTTTGAGTTATTCCCAGCAAATAAGATAGTTCCTGTCCTCGTGGGGGTTGGGGGCAATAAAAAGCTGGACGGGAAGTAGGAAGCAGTGTGGTTTGCTGGGGCCAGCGTGTTAATGCTGATGCTGGTGACCGTCATCCTGTGGTGGTCCCGGCCATGGCTGCTCCGTGCCAGGGTTCCAGGGCCTGTGGCCTCCCCAGCACCGCCATCGCCACCGCTCCTGCGAACACGCACTCTCTTCTGTCATCGTCCGGAGTCAAGCAGCTGCAGTGCTAAGTTTTCAGGAAAATTAGCTTTATCAGTTTATGTTTATATTGCCTTGTTGTCCTTTGATACGTTGTAATTTCTTTTCATTTGGTGTTCTTTTTCCTCCCTCATTCCAGAAGTAATCCATGCCTGTAAGGACATATCACTGCAAGGACCAAATGCTTTTGCTTTCGTTTTGATGTTTAGTGGTTTATAAGAAATTGGATTTGTTTCTTTGAGTAGGAAAGTCTTTTTTTTTTTTTTTTTTTTTTTGCAAGATGGAGTCTCACTCTGTCACCCAGGCTGGAGTGCAGTGGTATGATCTCGGCTCACTGCAACCTCCGCCTCCCAGGTTCAAGCAATTCTCATGCCTCAGCCTCCAAGTGGCTGGGACTACAGGTGACCATACTACGCCTAGCTGATTTTTGTAATGTAGAGACAGGGTTTTGCCATGTTGGCCAGGCTGATCTTGAACTCCTGACCTCAAGTGATCCGCCCAGCTCAGCTTCCCAAAGTGCTGAGATTACAGGCGTGAGCCACCGCATCTGGCTGAGTAGGGAAGTAACTAAATCTAATGTGAAGAAAGAAAATTTTGAATTTAAAGCATGCATTTGTTATAATGTAAGGGCCCAAGCCTTTCTGGTAAATAAAGTGAAGAATAAATCTAAACAATAACAGTTCTACAGGTTAAAGTTAATTTTTTCTTACAGTATCGCATTTCCTGAGTATTATTATACATGAAGCAACTTAATAGCCAAATTATTATTTGATTCTGTGGTATAAATAATATGTGCAAGTTTGAGGAAGTTCCGGATTTTATAACCAACTTTTTGTGGTACAGATAGGACTACTCTTACGCCGAGTTCTTAGAATAAATGTTGAAGTACAGTAATTGCATTGAATTGCTTTAGTTGTGGACGTTAGCTCCGAGGCTGTGGTTCATTCTGTGCCCAGTTTGAGGCAGAGGTAGGAGCAGCAGCCTTGGGGCTGATGGCTGTGCCAGCCAGGGTTTGCTGAGCGCGTCGTGGAAGTTAAAGGAGAGAAAATAAGCTTGTGAGAAATTTACCAGCACCCTGACTCCCCAAGATTTCCTCAGTGCTTCTGTCTGTTAGCTCGGCAGCAATTTCCTCATAAAAACCTTCATTCTTCATTATTATTATTATTTTTACAGTCCTGTAAGGGCACCAGAGTCCTTCATTCTTTACTTATTGAATGTGAAGATAAGTCCTCTCAGGATGTATTAATAAGTAGCGTTTTCTTGGTAACGGCCTGTTAGGCTCAGGCCCATACCAGCAGCATTGACGCATCTTCTCAAATTAACTGTCCTTTCTAAAATGATTTGTTTACCTCTGACACCAGGCTCCCAGGTCAGTGGAACTGAAAAGGTAAAAGGTTTCGCAAGAGGAAGGAAGTATCTGGAGTGGCATGTAACGATTTATAGCAACTTGGGTTTGAAACCAGAAATCAAAAAAATGGTTTTCTGTGTAAAATTGTCATATGTGGATTCATGGCTAGACCTTAAGATACGCTGTGTGGAAAGAAGAATCAGGTGAATCATAATACCTTTTCTCCTTAGGTAATTTTTTGAGAAAGATTTTGCAGCCTGCTTTTTACTTGCTTGGCGGGGAAGATGCTGATAGCGCTCCGGAGACGAGAGGCCACGGATTTCCCCACTTCTGTGAAGCATCTACAAAACCAGGATTTTCTTTTAACGAAATGTTCGCAGAAAAGGCTGTAGAAGAAAGCTGGACATTGAATTCAAAGAAACTGGAGGGTCTAGGGTCAGCTGAGCAAGCCAGGCCTGGCCTTTCATTTCTAGTTGTGAAGAATAACATGGGAGAGAAGCATCTTTTCGTAGATCTAGGTAAGTCACGTTGACAGCTGTCTCTCTCAGACGGTCCTGGTGCTTTCGTGCGGGACAGGTCGGTGCCCACTCATCACTGTGCTGGGGATCTCGCTTCCTTCACTGCCCAAGTCACCAGCAGGAGGCGACCAGTGAGCTCAGGTGCTGGGAATCCCTGAGGTTTCTCTCCAGAGATCCTAGAGGGTTCCAGGCTGGCCTGGGCTCCAGCAGAAGGTGGTGTGACTGGCTTCTGCTCTGCATGTCCAGAGGATTCCTGTCGAGGGAGTTTTGACAGGGGACAGTTGGACTGGCTTCCTCCAGGACTGCTGAGAGGTTAAGTCAGAGTGCAGAAATTTAAAAACCAGACCTAGTACAGCGCAGTACTCACGTGGTGTAGTAAGGCTGGGTGTTTTCCTCGCTGAAGGTCTCTGTGGTGGTGGCAGGGTACATTTCTTCAGCTTTCTCGCTGTGTTCAAACCAGTGATTTCTCAATCCGCTGTGGCTTTGCTGTAACAGTATGGGTTAGTTTTGCCTGTATTTTTACCTTGTAGTTGGAGTCATATACAGTTGACTCTTCAACTGGTCTCAGAGCATGAGAATGTCAGAAGCCCTGGGCTGACAGGACTTGAGCATGTTCAAGAGGCCAGTCGAGACCCCTAATCAGCAGCTCCAGGTTGATGAACTGCACCTCAGTTTTATATGGAGGCTCTCGCTTGTGATTTGAAAAGCCATGACAGCAGCATTTTTGCTGTTGGCGTTGAACACCTGGAAGAGCTTCAGTGTGTAAAGGGTTAGGGAAAGTACGTATAGGTTACAGGTCAGATTCCCAGGCCAGCAGTGGAAGCGAGGTTAGGAAGTGACCCTGCTGTATTGTATGTCTTTCTAGTACCTCTGGCAATCAAGCACCGGAACTGGGAAAGATAGACCAGTGTGAGGTAGAGGAGTCACGTGGGTAGAGGTGAATTCTTCCAAGCTTAGAGTTTAATATATCAGATAGGCATCACACTGTCTCTTAGAGTTTTGCATGTTAGATAGACCCCACACTGTTGCATAGAGTTTTATATATTAGATAGGCATCACACTGTCTCCTAGAATTTTATATATTAGATAGACCCCACACTGTCTCACAGAGTTTTATATATTAGATAGACCCCACACTGTCTCACAGAGTTTTATATATTAGATAGACCCCACACTGTCTCCTAGAGTTTTATACATTAGACAGACCCCACACTGTCTCAGAGAGTTTTATATATTAGATAGGCATCACACTGTCTCAGAGAGTTTTGTTGTAATCTTCAGTCTTCACATCTGGGAAAAATAGTTCCTCCAAGTTTGTTCTTTAAATTTCTTGTTTTTTTCTTGACCTTTTTCACTTGCATTTAAATTTTAGAATCAGCTCACCAGTTTATACAAACAAATCCTGCTAGAATTTTTTTTCTTTTTTTTTGAGACAGAGTTTTGCTGTTATTGCCCAGGCTGGATGCAGTGGCGTGATCTCGGCTCACCACAACCTCTGCCTTCTGGGTTCAAGTGATTCTCCTTCATCAATCTCCCGAGTAGCTGGGATTACAGGCATGTGCCACCACACCCGGCTACTTTTGTCCTTTTAGTAGGGACGATGTTTATCCATGTTGGTCAGGCTGGTCTCAAACTCCCAACCTCAGGTGGTCTTCCTGCCTCAGTCTCCCGAGGAGCTTGAATTACAGTCATGCGCCACCACACCTGTCCAATTTTGGATTTTTAGTAGAGAGGAGGTTTCTCCATGTTTGTCAGGCTGCTCTTGAATCCCGACCTCAGGTCACCTGCCTGCCTCGGCCTCCCCAAGTGCTGGGATTACAGGCATGAGCCAGCATGCCTGGCTACACTTTTTATTTGGATTACCTTGAATCTATAGATCAACTTGGGGAGAATTGACATTTTTTATAATATTGAGTCTTCCAATGTATGCACATGGTAAACCTGTCTATTTACTTAGGTATTCTGTAATTTCTGTCAGTAATGATTTACAATTTACTGAATAGAAATCTTACTCATATTTTGTTAGATTTATTCTACAAATAAATTTGTTTTTGTAGAATACAAAACAGAAAGACTTGTTTGTTTTTGATCCTTTTTCTCCGGAATTCTGCACTCACTGTCTTGGAAGCTTTCTGGTAGCCTCAGCCTTTCTATTTGTTTGTAATACCTTTGTCCATCTTTTCTATTTGTCTTCAATTGCAGAATTGCTGCAAAATAATCTAATTTGTCATTTGAGGATGTGGCATTCTTCCATGCTGACTGCAAGTTAATTTATATTGTGGTTTCATTTTGTTTTGTTTATAGCTATCTATAGAAAATAATTATTTATTTTATTACTGCTATATAAAATTTTAATACTTGCTGACTATAAAACTAATCACAGAAATCATACTTTCATATTATTTTGATGTAGGAGTTTATACAAGAAATAGAAACTTTCGGCTGTATAAATCATCAAAAATAGGAAAGTGTGTGGCTTTGGAGGTTGCTGAGGAAAACAGATTTTTTCCCATACAGTCGGAAAACGTTTCAGAAGAATATCAGTATTTTCTTTCTTCTTTGGTCAGCAATGTCAGGTATGTAGTTGTGGCATCAAACCATTTTGTATTCATGAATATTAAACAGTGAATCGCATTGTATATTACCAAAATGTCAGTCACCTAAATTCATTCTACCGTAAGAAAAAGTCAGTTCTTACAGTTCTAAGTTAACACTTCTCTTTTCTCCATTAACTAAAAGATAATAGTAAAACATATTTTTGAACCACTTAATTTTCCCTTTATGTCTTTTCAGGATTATATTTAGTATGTTTTCCAATTTTTCTAAAATGATTATCACTCCTATAAAGAAGAAAACAATATGACTGGTACTGCATTTGGAAATATAATGACTATTAAAATGTCTCATTTTCTTTTCATGTATCCATGAAATTATGTGCAAATTTTATGTACATATATATAATTTGCATAGCTCCTTTATTCAAAAAATATTCTCGAGATTATTATTTAGATGATTGTCACTTATTTTTTCAGCTTGGTGTTATGAATATTTGTTAAGAATTTGCCAACAATTATAAATCTTCTAATGCCTGTATAAATTATCATTATATTGACACTCTGGAATTTATTGTGAGTTCTACTATTGAAGCTTTAGGTTCCCATGTTTTGATCATTTTCTAAAAGCATCGAAATTGGCTGGGCACAGTGGCATGTGCCTTTAGTCCCAGCTACTCAGGAGGCTGAGGTAGGAGGATCACTTGAGCCCAGGAGTTCAAGGCTGCAGTGAGCTATGATTGCACCACTGCACTCCAGCCTGGGTGACAGGGTGAGACCCCATTGCTAAAAACTAAGATATAAATAAATAAATAAAAATAAAATCTGTGAAAGTCACCTTTCAGCAGAAATACAGTAAATCCTCATTTGATGCTGAAAAGTTATTGGAAACTGAGCTTTAAAGGAAGTGATGTATAACAAACCCTGTTATTTTTTCTCATCACTGTTGTAAGGCAGTGGTCCCTGGGTCACGGACCAGGGGTCTGTGGTTAGGACCCAGACCCCACAGCAGGAGGTGAGCAGGAGGCGAGCGAGATGACCAGCTTCCCACCTGAGCTCCACCCCGTCAGAGCCACAGTGGCATTAGGTTCTTTCCGGAGTGCAAATCCTGTTGTGAGCTGCTCGTGGGAGGTAGGTTGCACACTCCTTATGAGAATCCAATGCCTGATCATCTGAGGTGGAACGCATTCATCCTGAAACCATCCCACCTGCCTCCGCACACCATGGAAAAATTGCCTTCCAGGAAACCGTTCCCTGGTGCCAGAAAGGTTGGGGACTGCCATTATAACAGAAAACGTTATTCAGAGACGTGCTATGTGTCATTTCTCTTAAAGTCGCAGTTTCCAAGAATCTGTCCATGGCATTAAGTGAGGACTTACTGTATTTGCCTTCATTCCCCGTTTTTCTAGGCTGGCAATTTTTCAGCCCAAAATGTGGTTAAGGTTCAGATTAAATTACCATCAACTTGCCATGGATCTTTTCCTTTTGTGTTTCTTAAATATAATTTTTTTTTTTTTTGAGACAGTCTTGCTCTGCTGCCCAGTGACATGGCACGAACTCGGCTCACTGCAGCCTCTGCCTCCCAGGTTCAAGCAATTCTCCTGCCTCAGCCTCCCGAGTAGCTGGGACTGCAGGTGCATGTCCCCACACCCAGATAATTTTTATATTTTTAGTAGAGATGGGGTTTCACCATGTTGGCCAGGCTGGTCTTAAACTCCTGACCTCAAGTGATCTGCCTGCCTTGGCCTCCCAAAATGCTGGGATTACAGGTGTGAGCCACCATGCCTGGCCACCTAAATATAATTTTAAGGAAAAATTCTCTAGAAATTAATTTTAGTAATTGTTTAATATACATTGCTATAGGGGCAGTTGTATCAGGCTATACAGTTAACAGCCGTTACCCAGGAGGGTAGAAGAGGGATTGTTTCTCTTCATATATAATATATATATATTTGTACTCTTTGAGTTCTTTTGATAACATGTCTTAGAAGTAAGGTCTGAGTTTCCTACTTTTAAATGGAATTGATACACCTATCTTATGGAGTTGTCCAGAGGATTTGAGAAGTTAAAACTGTGCACAGAAAACATTTACAGCTGTGCTCAGCGCGTGGCATCTGCTCAGTAAATGTTGGTAACAGCAGTAATATCTGAGATTCTGGAAGTGCCATAGTAGGAGTGTGAAAACTGTATAATTCCTGCCACCGTCTGTCGGCACCAGAATGAGGTCAGTCTCTACCACGTATGGAAAAGTGCAGAAAGCAATACTGTTAATTCTAGCTCGTATGGGAAAAGCAACTACAGCCTGAAGTGCCGGTAATCTCCCAATTACCCAATCCTGTGTCTTTAGCAGTTTAAATAGTACTCTTACCGAGGTGGAGGGTTCTCTGCTGAATACAGTTATCTTGTCTTTTGTGTATTCCAAGTAAATGCCAGGTTTTTACTTCCTGAAATAAAAGCTAAATCCTTTATGGTTATGAATGTATCTTTTCTTTCCACTAATTTTAATCTGTTTTTTCCTTTGCCCTCACCCCTCCTCTTCATTTCTTCCTGTAAGTCACACCTCTAAAATTGTAACAAAAATTTCAAAGGCTCTTTATGTTTGATGAATAGTTATGTAGTCATCCCCTGGTGTCTGTGGGTGTTTTATTCCAAGACCCCTGTGGATACAAAAATCCATAGATATAAAGGGGTGTACTGTTTTCACATAACCCATACACATCCTCCATATACAATACTTCAAATCCTTCCATGTGACCTATACCTAAAACAGTTCACATGCTGTATAGTTCTTATACCATATTGTTTTGAATTTGTATTATTTTCATTGTATTGTTTATTTTTATTTAATTACTTATTTTTTTGAGATGGAGTCTCGCTGTGTCCACCCAGTCTAGAGTGCAGTGGTGCGACCTCAGCTCACTCCAACCTCCACCTCCCGGGTTCAAGCAGTTCTCCGACCGACCCTAACTTCCTGTGTAGCTGGGATCATAGGTGCCCACCAGCACACCTGGCTAATTTTTATATTTTTAGTAGAGATAGGGTTTCACCATGTTGGCCAGGCTGGTCTCAAACTCCTGACCTCAAGTGATCTGCCCGTCTCAGCCTCCTAAAGTGCTGGGATTATAGGCGTGAGCCAATGCGCCTGGCCTATTTATATTGTTTTTTAAAAAATACGCTTTTGGATGGGTGCAGGGGCTCATGCCTGTAATCCCAGCAATTTGGGAGGCTGAGGCAGGCGGATCACCTGTGGTTGGGAGTTTGAGACCAGACTGACCAACATGGAGAAACCCCATCTCTACTAAAAATACAAAATTAGCCAGGCATGGTGGTAGGTGCATGCAATTCCAGCTACTCGGGAGGCTGAGGCAGGAGAATCACTTGAACCCGGGAGGCGGAGGTTGCAGTGACCCAAGAATGCGCCATCGCATTCCAGCCTGGGCAACAAGAGCGAAACTCCGTCTCAAAAAACCATGCTTTTGATCTGTGGTTGGTTGAATCCGCAGATGTGAAACTGTGGACCCATGGCTTCAGCAATCCCAGAGTCTGCTGATCCATTCTGTAATTAAGGTTAATGTAAATAATCATCAACCTACTCTTTAAAAAAAATACTTTCTTTAATTGACAAATCATATTGCTTTTATACGTGTAGGGTTCGTGGTTTTGTGGGCAAATGTGACATAAATGTCCTACAACAATTATCTGCTGAACGAAGTATTTCAGCGTGAACTATTTGGAATATAGCGTTCTTTCTGTAGCCTCCTTAGTTCTAGTGTAATGGTGCTTTGTTTCTTTTACCTGTTTCTTCTTCAGGTTCTCAGATACTTTACGAATTCTTACATGTGACCCATCTCAGAATAAACAAAAAGGAGTTGGATATTTTAACAGTATCAGCACTTCAGGTAAATTTTTTGATGTTTGGTTTTTTTTTTTTTTTGAGACAGGGTCTCTCTTTGTCACCCAGGCTGGAGTACAGTGGTGCAATCTTGCTTACTGCAGCCTCCTCCTCCCAGACTCAAGCCATCCTCCTGCCACAGCCTCCAGAGTAGCTGGGACTACAGGCACGCACCACCACGCCCAGCTAATTTTTGTATTTTTAGTTGAGGTGAGATTTCAACATGTTGCCCAGACTGGTCTCCAGCTCCTGGGCTCAGGTGCTCTGTCTGCCTCAGCCTCCCAGAATGCTGGAATTATAGGCGCAAGCCTCTGGCACCTACTTAAGGTAATTTTTAAAAAGTAATTTCCTATCAAAATGTAAGATACAGAATCTCTTTTGCCTTTAGCACCTTAAATCTTAAGTATTCATAACCACTGATCTTTCAAAAACTATGGCTAACCAGGCACAATGGCTCACACCTGTAATTCCAGCACTTTGGGAGGCTGAGGTGGGAGGATCGCTTGACCCTAAGAGTTAGAGACAATCCTGATCAAATTAGGAAGACCATATCTCTACAAAAAATACAAAAATTAGCCAGCAGTTGTGGTGGACGCCTGTAGTCCCAACCACTTAGGAGGCTGAGGCAGGAGGATCTCTTGAGCCCGGGAGGTCGAAGCTACAGCGAGTCTCGATGGTACCATTGCACTCCAGCCTGGGCGGCAGAATCGGACCCTGTCTCAACCAATCAGTCATCAGTAATCAATCAATCTACTTCTAGCTTTGTATCTCAAATGAGAAGAGTATGAAAGAGATGTTTATTAAAGTATTATTCACTAATTTTCATTTTATGGTGTTTTTCAAAAAAATACAAAAATAATGTAGGTTATATGTATAAAATAAACATATAAGACAGTGAAAACTAAAAGTATTTTTACACCCTTCTGTCCACAATCAAAGGCAGATAACCACTGCAGTCATTTTCTGTTTAACCGAGAAGAGCGTTTCCTATATTTCCAATGTAGAGAGATCTTCCTCAGTCTTTTAATAGATGCATGGTTTTTCACGGTACAGCTCTGTCATAACGTACCCGTTTCTCTACTGAAGAATGTGTAGTGTTTTTTTCCTAAGATTTCTTACATAAACCCTCCAGTAAACATTTTTATACACATATTTTAGTATATTGCTATTTAAAATAGTGAAAAACTGAAGCAATCTAAATGTACAACAAAATTGGATAGGTTGTATACTATGAAATCCTCTAGCTGTTAAATTTAAATTGATAAAGTCTTTTTAATGTGGAAAACACCCATTTGTAATGTTAAAAGAAAAAACAGTCTCAAAAATTATGTGTATGGTATGATTAAAAGCTAACTTTAAAATATGGGTAACTTTTTTTTTTTTTTTTTGGGACGGAGTTTCGCTCGTTACCCGGGCTGGAGTGCAATAGCGCGATCTCGGCTCACCGAAACCTCTGCCTCCTGGGTTCAGGCAATTCTCCTGCCTCAGCCTCCTGAGTAGCTGGGACTACAGGCACGCACCACCATGCCCAGCTAATTTTTTTATTTTTAGTAGAGACAAGGTTTCACCATGTTGACCAGGATGGTCTCGATCTCCTGACCTCGTGATCCACCTGCCTCGGCCTCCCAAAGTGCTGGGATTACAGGCGTGAGCCACCGCGTCCGGCCAACATTTTCTTATGTTTATTTTCTTCTGTTTTTTATCTTTATAGACATTGATTTAGAGTCTGTTCCTCACATTTCCACATTATTTTCCAATATTTCTCCAATTATATATATTATTTTAGTAAGTGAAACATAGACTTCATTTAAAGCAAACTAGATTTTTGTCCTTAAAAGTTAAATGATACTTAAAATAGGTTATTCTAAATTATTACAGTAGGTTTTTAGATAGAAAATATAATTGGATTGTTAGTATTTTCCAGCTAAAGACCCCAGGGCACACACCTGTAGCCAGTCAGCTGACGGCAAACACACCACGGGAGCCTCGGTACAGTGGGGCATCTCGGGAAGAGGAGGGTGGAAATGACTGGTAGGGCTGGATTTGGGCTTGGCATGGGTGCTTTGGGGGAATATACCAGGAAGCCTGGGGTTTGTTCTGAGTTGGGTGTTATCAGGGACAATTCTAGGATTGGTTTTCTTAGTAAAGCTTAACTAAAAGGAAATCAGACTAGAAATTAACACTGTAATCAGTTTAAAAAGAATAAAAAAGCAGCAGTCACTCATATTATCAGGTATTGTGGGTGTTTGGTCATTTTTGTGGTTTGGAAGATGTTCCTGTTTTGTCTGTGTTTGGACATGATTACACAGCGGTCATCTTTTGCCTGAGTCCTCATGACCACAGGGTTGTATCTGTTGTTGAAGTTCTAGGAGATTGCCTTTGTTCACAGCAGAAGGCCCAGGCCGAGGGAGGTGTGCGGGCTAGCGCAGGGTGCACCAAGGCCTGGCTGATGGAGCTAGGCCTGCTGTGGACGTGAGGGGCTGTCGTTCTCTTTTCCAGAGTGAAGACAGCAGTTGAAATTATTTCAAATGCTTTTTATGAAATTAGTTAACATTGGCTGGGCACGGTGCCTCATGCCTGTAATCCCAGGACTTTGGGAGGCCAAGGCAGGCGGATCATGAGGTCAAGGGATCGAGGCCATCCTGGCCAACATGGAGAAACCCCGTCTCTACTAACAATGCAAAAATTAGCTGGGTGTGGTGGCACACACCTGTACTCAGGAGGCTGAGGCAGAATTGCTTGAACCCAGGAGGTGGAGGTTGCAGTGAGCCGAGATCACGTCACTGCTCTCCAGCCTGGGCAACAAGAGTAAAACTCCATCTCAAAAAAAAAAAAAAAAAAAAAAAAAAGTTAGCATTTGACCTATTGAAAGGTTTGAATTTTACCTGCATCCTTGTAGTGTAAGAAACATGAATTGACTGAAATTGCAAAAAGTGGGGGAAAGCTGAGAGCCTGCAAAACCCGTAATTGTACTCAACAACATTTAATCAAAAGTTAACTTCTCGACTTTCAGCTGTTGTAATTTATAAAAAATTCTCTGTTGCAGTAGAAACCATTGAAGGTTTTCAGTGTTCACCCTATCCTGAAGTTGATCATTTTGTTCTTTCTTTGGTGAATAAAGATGGCATTAAAGGAGGTAAAGTTAATCTCATTCTTTATTAACTGTTATATGATAGAGTGATGGTACCTTTAGAAACATTATTTGCATTTTAGGAATTCGGCGTTGGAACTACTTTTTCCCAGAAGAATTATTGGTTTATGATATTTGTAAATATCGTTGGTGTGAAAACATCGGAAGACCCCATAAGAGTAATAATATCATGTAAGTAATATTATTAATGATTTGTTTTTATTTAACCAATATTATATTTTAAATGTTTATAACTTTTTTTCTTGAGACGAAGTCTCACTCTGTCACTCAGGCTGGAGGGCAGTGGTGTGATCTCGGCTCACTGAAACCACCGCCTCCCAGGTTCAAGCCATTCTCCTGCCTCAGCTTCCCAAGTAGCTAGGACTACAGGCGCGCACCACCATGCCCAGCTAGTTTTTTGTATTTCTAGTAGAGACTGGATTTCACAGTGTTAGACAGGATGGTCTCAATCTCCTGACCTCGTGATCAGCTCGCCACAGCCTCCCCAAGTGCTGGGATTACAGGCCTGCGCCACTGCACCTGGCCTATAACTTTTAAATAAACTTGAGAATATGAAAATTATTTTGTTTTAAAAATAAATTTAGTTGTAGTAAATTTCATTTTTAAAACAATATATTTTTCATATTCTGAATGAAACATAGTCTTGCTCAGTTGCCCAGGCTGGAGTGCATTGGTGTGATCGTGACTCACTGCAACCACCGTCTCTGAAGTTCAAGCAGTTCTTCTGCCTCAGCCTCCTAAGTAGCTGGGATTACAGGCTCATGCCTCCATGCCCGGCTAATTTTTGTATTTTTAGTAGAGACAGGGTTTCATCATGTGGGGCAGGCTGGTCTCGAACTCCTGACCCTGTGATCCGCCTGCCTCAGTCTCCTAACGTGCTGGGATTACAGACATGAGCTGCCGCGCCCAGCTGTTGTATTGAATTTGTATCTGTTGTCTATGGTTAGCATTTTATAATATTTGATTTAAATGCTGTAATTACTGCATTGCTTCTGGCACGTCAGCTCTATGTGTACTTTATTTGCTGAGATAACCCCTTAGCATATCTGGAGGGGACAGGGGTGGGCTTGATAGGACTGGAAGGCCACGGAGGGAGCAGTGAGGGTGGGAAGCATGCCTCTCCGTCCGGTTCCCGCTGGCCCTTGCCACCTTATGGATTCTACATTGAAGGTGGTGGGCAGGTTTGGGCAAGAAGGGATCTCCTCAGCAGCAAGAGCTGGAGCTAGGACTCTGCTAAGTTGTTCAACACACAGCATGGCACTGAGGGTACGAGTATTCATTGAATGGCTGCTGTATATGCCACGCCCTGCTTTAGAGATTTTCTTTAAAATGCCCATAGCACGAGGGGGAAAGTAAAGGATGGAGTAAAACCAGAAGTAGAATTTTAAATAATAAAAGGATGTGGTGAGAATAGAGATAAACAGCAACCCAGTAGTTATCAGTTACGATGGGAGAAATTTTGCTGTTTTTTTTTTTTCTTTAGTGAGGTCTTAGATAGGCGCTGTTTTCTGTTTCATGTCAAAGCAACTCCTGTATCAAGCATACGCGGCCTATGTGCGCGGCGTGGGAGACCAATTGGGAAGCTGAAAGGACATTGGGTAGCGTGGTCCAGTGCATACTTGATATACTTAGATTAATTCAGCTTTAAAAAAAGCTTGCAAAAACTATGTGCTCGTTACACAAAGCTATAACAGAAAACATGAAGAGATCACCCATAGTGCCACAGCCTGGGGATAACTGCAGTTACCAGTTTGAGTATCTTCTATTCTTTTTTCTATGCATATTCCCAAAAAATCATTATCATATGATGACCATACCACCTTGAATTATATATCCGTAATCTATTCTGTTTTTTAACTGTGGAATATATCATACATATAAAAGTAGAGATAACACACTTTTTAAAAAAAATGTTCTGAGACAGAGTCTTGCCCTCTTGCCCAGGCTGGAGTGCAGTGGTGCAATCTCAGCTCACTGCAACTTCTGCTTCCTTGGTTCAAGTACTTCTCCTTCCTCAGCCTCCCAAGTAGCTGGGATTACAAATGCGTGCTCCTACCCTGGCTAATCTTTGTATTTTTAGTAGGGATGGGGTTTCACCATGTTGGCCAGGCTGGTCTGGAACTCCTGACCTCCAGTGATCCCCTTGCTGCAGCTTCCCAAAGTGCTGGGATTACAGGTGTGAGCCACACCCAGCCAAACACACTTTTATTCGCACATTTTAAAGATTAAAATACCTGTCATATCTGCCACCCATCTTCAGAACCAGAACCTGATCAAACCTCAGAAGCACCTGTGGGCCCAGCCTCCATTTCCGTCTCTCCCTGGCCCGCAGAGATTGTAGCCATTATTCCGGATTTTGTGTTCATCTTTTTCTTGCTTTTATGATTCTTCCCATATACGTTCATATCTCTGAACAATATACTATTTTCCTTTGCTTGTTTTTTAAAAAAAGGTCTTTTCACTTGCCTTGCGGTATCATATCTGTGATCTTCACCCATGTTGCAGCATGTAGATTTTGCTTCTTTGTGTCATTATTGTATAGCATGCCATGTATGTAAACATAAACATGTCAGTTTATTTTCCCACAGTGGACATTTGGGTTGCTGTTATGAACCATGAAGCTGGGAACCTTCTTGTACATATGACCTAGTACACACGTGCAAGAGTTTCTCTAAGTGGACTTGCTACCTCATGCAATATGCACTATTTAATTTTATTAGATCATAAATTGTTTTCCCAAATGGATGTGTCAGTTTATAGTGCTGCCAGCAGTGTTTTGAAATTTTCTACTGCTCCATATTCTCACCAGCACTTAGTATTGTTAGGATAAAAAAAATTGATTTTGCTCATCCGGCAGGGATAAAACACTATGGTGGTTTTCATGGGAATCTCCCTGATTACTAATGAAGTTAAGGACTGGGAATTGAATTACATTCAAACAAATCAGAAATCTTGCCCAGTATCAAGCTTTACTATAATGTAAGGACACAAGGACTGAAAAGGCACAAATGGGGCAGAGCAAGGCCTGGGGCATCTGGCCTGGCTCCCCTACCCCTTTCTGCCCTCTCTGACTCAGGCAGGAACCCGAGGCAGAAGTGAGCAATCCCTGCACACAGCAGGAAGCCCCAAGGTTATGAATACCTCATTTTATACTCACGTTGCATAGCTGGGTGACATTTCCTGGAAAGCATGCCTCATAATCCATAGATTCCGGGCTGATTTACCAAATGCAATTCTAAAGTCAGAAGCATCCTACGAAGAGCATTCTGTAGGTAAGGACTGACCTAGCATTTGGTCCAGAAGTTACCAGATTTTCTTGGTTCATGGTTCCCCTGGTGTCTTTGTTTTTTCACATTTTCTCTGAGGCCAAAATAAATAGGAGTTCTGTTAATGAATTAGTTACTTTCAAACAACTTGATAAGTATTTATGTCCTGACAATTTAGCAGCAGTTTGAATAATAGTATCCATAAACTTAAAAAAGCAAAAAACTTTCATTTCGTTCTTAAATAGTTACTTATTAATGGGATGTTATACACTCTTTTTTTTTTTTTTTTTTTTTTTTTTTCTCATTGTTTTGAGACAGGTTCTTACCCTGTCTCCCAGGCTTGAGTACAGTGGCACAGCCCAGGCTTGAGTGCAGAATACAACAGCTCACTGCAGCCTCCATCTCCTGGGCTTCAGCTATCCTCCTGCTTCAGCCTCTCAAGTAGCTTGGACTGCAGGGGTGGCACCATCTCTGGCTTTTTAAATTTTTTGTAGATGGGGGTCTCCCTGTGTTGTCCAGTTTGGTCTTGAACTCCTGCCCTCAAGCTATCCTCCTGCCTCAGCCTCCCAAAATGCTGGACTTACAGGTGTGAGCCACCTCGTCAGGCCTATGTATGCCCTCTTAATTCTTGGAATCAGATTAGATGCCACCATTCCCAACTAATATCTTGTTCTCCATTGATGTTAATGGCGCTTTTTTTTTTTTTTTTTTTTTTCTTTTGAGACGGAGTTTCACTCTTGTTACCCAGGCTGGAGTGCAATGGCGCGATCTCGGCTCACCGCAACCTCCGCCTCCTGGGTTCAGGCAATTCTCCTGCCTCAGCCTCCTGAGTAGCTGGGATTATAGGCACGCGCCACCATGCCCAGCTAATGTTTTGTATTTTTAGTAGAGACAGGGTTTCACCATGTTGACCAGGATGGTCTCGATCTCTTGACCTCGTGATCCACCCGCCTCGGCCTCCCAAAGTGCTGGGATTACGGGTGTGAGCCACCGCGCCTGGCAATGGTGCTTTTTATTACAGACACACCCCCAAAGCGCAGCTCTACAAAGATGGAACATAAATGAAAGAAATGAAGTACAGTGTCACGTTGACCATGTGAACTGCAAGCAAGGCGTTTTCTGATTGCTCAACAAATGTCAAGTTTCCCTGTGTTTTTTAGAAATGTTTCAATATCCTCCAGTGCCCAGGGCACTTTACTGTACAGTTGGGGAGCCACAGCATTAGCTCATCAGTTGGGGAATCTGTTATTAGAATGTTTAAGGAAAGATTAGACTTAAGTCACCTGCGTTTTTTTTTTGCTCCTGGGTACATGTCCCTTTCCACCTCCCTACCCCACACCTCACTGACTACCTCAGGGAATGTTAGCCATCTTGTTTCCTTTTCTGTGAAATGTGGGAAAATTTTAAGACTAGTTAATCAAATTTTTAAGAATTTTAGTGATTATAGGATTGTTTAGGTTTTCTGTTGCTTAAGTTTGCCTATTTTTATCTAGTACTTTGTCTATTTTACAAAGTTCAAAGTTACTGGCAAAAATTGTTCATATACTTTTTTAAAAAAAAATGTATGCTGCACTTAATTTCTAATAACATTTGTGTCTTTGCCTTATGGTAAAATGGCAATTTTACTCGAATTTCATTTTATTCAAATGTAGGCCTTGTTGATTCTTTTTACTTTTTGCTCTTTATGACTTCCTGCCTTATTTTATTTATTTTTTTGAGATGGAGTTCTGCACTGCTGTCTGGGCTGGAGTGCAGTGGCGTGATCTTGGCTCATGGCAACCTCTTGCCTCCTGGGTTCAAGCAATTCTCCTGCCTCAGCTTCCCAAGTAGCAGGGATCACAGGTGCCCGCCACCATGACTGGCTCATTTTTTGTATTTTTAGTAGAGATGGGGTTTCACTATGTTGGTCACGCTGGTCTCAAAATGCCTGACCTTGTGATCCACCTGCCTCGGCCTCCCAAAGTTCTGGGATTACAGGTGTGAGCCACCACGCCTGGTCACCTGCCTTTTATTAGGGTTTATTCAGTTGCTCATTTTCCAGTTTAGTTACTTAATCCATGTATCTTTAGCCATTCTTCTTTCAAAACACAAGCTTTTTGTTGTTGCTGTTGTTTGAGACGGAGTCTCGCTCTGTCACCAGGCTGGAGTGCAGTGGCACAACCTCGGCTCACTGCAGTCTCCGCCTCCCGGGTTCAAGTGATTCTCCTGCCTTAGCCTCCTGAGTAGCTGAGATTACAGGCGCACACCACCATATCCAGCTAATTTTTGTATTTTTTAGTAGACAGGGTTTCACCACGTTGGCCAGGATAGTCTCGATCTCTTGACCTCATGATCCACCCACTTTGGCCACCCAAAGTGCTGGGATTACAGGTGTGAGCCACCACACCTGGCCCATAACAAGCTTTTAAGATTGTCCTCTAAAGGTCACTTTAACTGCATTTATTTTAATATGTACACTTCCAGTCCATTCATGTCTAAGCATTTTCTATTTCCACTATTTCCCCTTGAGCCATTGGCTATTTCAAAATGTTTTTAATTTCCAAATTATTTCTATTAGCTTTTTATTTCTAAATTTTGCTTTATGCTCAGAGAATGTGTTCTGTATGAACCGATAATTTTGATAAAATTCACTTTATAGTTAGCATGGAATTGATTATTTTATAAAGAGCTTCTTCATATATACCTATTAGATCAAACTTCTTGCTTTTTGTCATTCATGTTTTCTGTATCCTTATTGGACCTTTTTTGTGGTTATTTGATCTATAAATTACTGAAAATGTTTAAGAACCTTGATTTATGGTAGATTTGCTTATCACTGTAGTCTTGTCCATTTTTACTCACACATTTTGCAGCTGTATCATTTGGCGAATATAGGTTGAAATTGTTGTCTTCCGGGGGAACTTTGGTATCTACTTTTTGCCCTACGGTTCATTTTGTGTGATTTTTGGCAACCATCATTTTAATTGGTATGCACCTATTTCCATGCTTTTACTTTTTTTCTCCATTTTTAAGTCTTAGGCATTTCTCGGAACAGCATTGCAGGTGGATTTTGTTTTCCACCCAGTCTTGGTATTAATGCTAGTTTTTTTGTTTTTTGTTTAACATAAAGGATTCTGGTTGATCTGAAAAACGAAGTTTGGTATCAAAAATGTCATGACCCCGTATGTAAAGCAGAAAACTTCAAATCTGACTGTGAGTTACTAATTTTTACCTTTACCACAAAGTAAAAAATATATAGCTATAATATGTAATAGTTTTGCTATCTTTCTGATTCAGGTTTCCCATTACCTGCTGAAGTATGTCTCCTGTTTCTTTTCAAAGAGGTAAGTGCAGATATTAGTGTCTTCCTCCTTACCAGGGAGTTCTTGACAGTAGTATACATGAGCCATGAGTAGTGTCCACACAGCTTTGAAAAACATTTGGTACCTTCTTTTCACTTATGACCGCATTATAGGAATATATTGTAGTGAATTTCCCATCTCAGCACATACCTCATAATACACATCTTTTCACTGCTGTTTGAGATGTACGGTTTCATCAGTTCCAGACATTTAAGAAGTTTCCCATGTTTTGCTTTTGAAAGTTAACAAAATACCCATCTTTGTGTTTCTTTGAACATCTGTATCTGTAGGATGAATTTCTAGAAGTAGAACTGTGTCAAAGGGCATATTCAATTTTAATTTTGGTAGGTATTACCAGATGGCCAAACCAGCATTTTTCTCTTAAAAGATTTTTTATTTACCCAAATAATTAGCATGCGTTGTGGAATGAATTGAAAATACATAAAATTAGTCAGATGCCGGGGCTCATGCCTGTCATCCTAGCACTTTGGTTGGGAGGCCGAGGAGGGTAGATCCCTTGAGGTCATGAGTTCGAGAACAGCCTGGCCAACATGGTGAAACCCTGTCTCTACTGAAAATACAAAAATTAGCCAGGTGTGGTGGAGTGTGCCTGTTATCCCAGCTACTTGGGAGGCTGAGGCAGGAGAATCCCTTGAACCCAGGAGGAGGAGGTTGCAGTGAGCTACATAAAATTATAAAATACTCAAAAAGCAAGAGGAAAGAATCTTCCTCATTTGACCAGAGATAACTGATACATGTTTTGACATGTACCTTTCAGAACTTATGTATGCTCATGTTTTTTCTGAAGTGGTAGCACACATTTCACTTCTTCCACTTAAAAAATATCACAAATATTTTCAGCAGTACCTATTACCAAATTGCTCTCTATAAGAATTACAGGATATTAGACTTCCACAGATTGATGAAAGCACCTATTACTCGCACTTTGCCAACAGTGCTTGTTTGCCTCGATCACTACTAATCTGGTAGGCAAAAGGGGTACCTCAGTTGTTTTAATTTGCATTTCTTTAATGAACTCTTTTCAGATTCGCTGTTTAATGAAGTGCCTGTACCTATTCTGTCCATTTTTCTGTAACTTATTTGCAATAACTTAAGTACTTTTTTGACGTATTTTTTATACTTTTAAATTCTAGTTGTTTTTTTTTTTTTTGCCACATCTATCAGCTTTTTCCTTTACAGTGTTATGGTTAGAATAAAAATTACCTGCTACAAGCAGAACAAGTGATTGATTTTATATTCTAGAAAACTCAATCTGGTATCTACTGTCTTAAAACATGTCTCTCGAAAAAACTCCGTTTGGAATGGTGGAAATCCCGTTCTTGGTCTGCAAGAGCTGGACATAAAATAACTGATAGCCAGATTCTCTGGTAAAATACCAGGTTAAAACGTTTTGAAACAAGAACAAAGTAAATTTTAAAAAATAAACTTTGTCGCCAAGAGGAGGATGACTGCATCATCCTTGTTGGTCTAGATTGTGATTTAGATATTCACAATTGCAGTGCATTTTTAAAGTATTTTTTCTGCTAATCCAGTTAACACCTCAAAATGCCAAGTTGAAAGTAACTGGTGTAATATATTACCACTACTTGGACATAACCTTTTAAAATAATAAAAGATAAAGAATAGAATGAACACCCATGTAACTATCACTTAGTTTTCAGTTAACATTTTGCCTTTCCTGCTTCACTTGTTTAAAAAATATTTTAAACTAAATTACCAGTTGGTGTTATTTACTTGCTTTTCTGTTGCAGTGATTATCTTATTTCATTGGTCACCTGAACCTACAGAAATGTACAATAGGGAACTCTGCCATCTGTCCTTCATGGGGTTGCCATTTGTTAGCATTTGGTTACATTCGCCTTCTCCCTCTATTGTATACGTATGCATTCTTATTTTTGATGACTCTTAAATTGTAGACATCAAAACTCTTCATCTCCTAATATTTAAGAATGTAGCTAAAGGAGTTTTTATAGTATTTTAATGAGGGGGTGTCATGTTGCCCAGGCTAGTCTCAAACTCCTGGCCTCAAGCAGTCCTTCTGTCTCAGCCTCCCAAGTAGCTGTGATTACAGGCATGTGCCACTAAACTGAATAAGGACATTCTTTACATAAATAAAATTATTTAGTGGGAGGATCAACTAAATATCCATCGTAAAGACATTCTATGGCAAAATAATTGATGTAATTTCAAATTTGCAGTTTCAAGTTTTGCCTAAGCTTAAGTGCAGCAACGTTTCAATCAGTGCACTCATTCCCATGGTGAGGTATCAGAGACAGCATTCCTCCAGCATATTCACTATAGTATCTTGTCACTTAATGCCTTACTTTAACATAGAGTATATGGTCAAATCACATATGCTAAGTAAATATTTTCATATCCCACTCGCTCACCTTTCTCCACTGAAATAAAGGAAGAAGAGCTTACAACAGATGAAACTAGGAGCAGTGAAACCCAGAATCCTCATAAGCCATCACCTAGCAAGCTGTCAACAGGTGCATCTGCTGACACAGACTGGAATAATGGCATTGATGATGCTTATTTTTTAGAAGCTACTGAAGATGCTGAATTAGCTGAAGCGGCAGAGAACAGTCTTCTGAGTTACAATAGTGAAGTGGATGAAATTCCTGATGAACTAATTATAGAAGTATTACAAGAGTAGCTAATTCACTGTGGACACTTGTCACCAGGCTATAATTTGCCTGATGTCTATCAGATTTGATAAATATATTGTTAAACCTGTTTACATAAACTAAGTTTTATCACTGTTTTCCAATTTTGGTGTACTTAAATTCAGTAAAAACCCCCTTATTAATCAAAATTAGTCTATGTTCACATCAACTTAATTTTACAAGTTTATTACAACTCTTATATCTGGGGCTGATTAGACAAGGTGTCAGCATTTTAAAATTACTGAAGATATTAACCAGAAAAGATTATGGCCTCTAAAACTACTGATGCCATTTTAACATTGTTCACAACCATTTAATTGGAATAACAAATTTTAGATTCTGGTAAGTAGGCCTTAACTGCTTTGCAAAACTTTATTTAATAAAGTACAGTTTCAAAAGCTAACAGCATGAGACTAGTCTTCCTATAGGCACGTTTTAGTAGACTGCTCTTCTCATTTCTAGTCAAGGAGCTTCTCTAACCGATGGTTGATATTTTGCAGATGGCTTTCAGCTCCCAAAAGTGTTCTTGCTTTAAATAACAGAGCTGGAAGGCTGGATGAATCATACTGTTGAAAGAAAATAATTTATATAATTAGCAATATCAAAACTTATATAACCTTGTCCCTACATAGCTCAATCTTATGACCAATGCAAATTCTGATAGAGCTTTCCATTAACTAGTCCTCCTTTCATTTTTAACTAGGACCACTAAGAAAATTGGTTTTCATCCATTTCCTTAGAACATAATTGATCACAAAGTTGTTAGGAGCTGCTCTGCAAAGCATGAACTGATCTCATCCCAGATGATTCAAAGAACTATGTCATCTCTATTACTGAAGATAGGAAATCATGCCTGGGACATGTCAAGACTTGATTTGGGCAAGTCTGCTTGTGCTGTGTGGGGTCTGCTCACAGAAAACTGTAAGATTTTTTTTTTTTTTTTTTTTTTTTTTTCTTAAAAACTTTTATGGGTCTGGTGTTCTCATTCCATTAGTTCTTTCAGTTAAAGTAAAACCTATCATCTAGAGAGATTATTGGGAAAATCAATTAAATGTCTCAAAGGTTGCCAATCCGAATGTTCTTAATGATTAAAGTTAAAATTAGAATACAAACCCAACATAAAATAGCACACACAATATCTAATTCACGATTTCAAAGTAATTAAAGTCAAACTTCCAGTTGCAAATTGTATCTAAGGGTGCATGATTAATTTCTCCTTACAGAATTTTATCATACTTTGATAGTTTGCTGTTTAATATCATGTTTTCAAGATGACAGCAGAGAAGCTGTCACACCATGACTACCATACACGATACTGGGATTTTATACAAATATTTGACAAGCTAATGTGTTCAAGCTCTCCCAGGCACCTGCTCTAGGGAGGGATAAAGTCAACAACTCACATTTGTCACTAAGTGTTTAGAGGTAAGACATATACCCAAATATCTACCATCATTAAGGCAAAAAGGACAGTAACTACAAGAGAAGTGCAAAAAGGTACTCAGGTCACACCAAGATCAGGATGCTCATCCAGTGGTGTGATCCAGACAAGGCAGAGACACTAAACCTCGCTTTTAACCGAAGTATTATGTTCAAGCTGAATCAATGATACACGTAACTTCCCCAAACTGAGTAACCAAACTCCAAATCAAACTTTGGACTAGTTAGGTAATTAAAAAAAATACCTTTAAAAGTGTTCTATTTCTAGATCTCTAATATACAAATAACCTTTAGGCTCAGGAAAATTAACTTAGATAATTGTCAAAACCTTAACACTGAATTTAGAAGAATACAAATCTGATCATAAAATATATGTATACATTACATTTAATTATATCTACATATTTTATATAAAATCCTATTAGGGTATACAAATTTTTTTTTTTCTAGAACTTAAAACATTTCTATTAATCTGAGGTGGATAACAGTAGCAAAGTTTGCAGTAAAAATCCAGAAGCAACTATAAAATGTATTAATAAATCTGTTTTCCTACTATATTCCTTTTTAATGTTTCTTAATTTTTTTTTGAGGCAAAGTCTTGTTCTGTCACCCAGGCTGGAGTGCAGTGGTGTGATCACAGCTCAGTGCAGCCTGGACCTCCAGGCTCAAGTGATCTTCCCACCCCAGCCTCCAGAGTAGCTGGGACTACAGGCATGCACCACCACCTGGCTAGTTTTTGTATTTTTAGTAGAGATGGGGTTTCACCATCACCCAAGGCTGGTCTTGAACTCCTGGGCTCAAGGGATCTAACTTGCCTTAGCTTCCTGAAGTCCTATGATTACAGGTGTGAACCACCATGCCCAGCCTATTACTTAACTTCTAAAATCATACCTACCAGTTATATGGGAAAATGGCTTGTTTTTCACATACGAAAGATGCTGTGAACATGGGCTAGACAAAATAGAAATGCCTGGTCTTTCAAACATGGCTGAGTGGTCTTACAGGAATGAAAATTGTAAAAAAGCAGAATGTGATTTTTCAGTTGAGATTTATACATACGATATAAACTTCCCTTGATGAAATTCAGCTGTCCGAGTGAAAATACCTTAAACAAATCGGCGATTCTAGACATTACTCCTCCAGCCTTAAGTAGCTAAGAAAAGTGCTGATATAATGAAGTTTCACTGGCTTAGGTAGACTCTCCATTTGTCTTTCCCCAAAGCTTCTGATACTCTAGCATGCAAATATTCTCCCACAATCATCTTCTGAAGCATGATAAAAAGTAAATTAGAGTTACCATTTCCTTTACATTTGGTTCTTTCGCTTGAACATCTGAATAATCTTGATAGAGCTGTTTTAAATTAGATAAGAAATATGCTGCATGCCTAAGGGAAGACTTTCTCTCTTTAAGTTCATCATATTTGGTTTGTAGTTTTTTCAGCTGTGGCTCCATCCTAAAACAAAAATAAGTGACATATAATAAAATGTACCGGCCTATCGTGTGTGAAACTGAGGATACAGGTACGCTGAGTGAGTATGAAGAACCAGGGTTGGCCAACTAGATGACTAAGATTCTGGGTTTCAGTTTAAAACATAGGAAAAAAAATAATCTCTGAAATACAATGCACAATGAATAATTAGCAGTGACATCCACAGAAGAATATGACTTATAAATGCAAAATTCATCAAGCCATTCAAGTCTTGGGAACTACTGGATCAAATGTATGCTTGGCTAACATTCAGCGGCTCACGCCAGAAGAGCCGGGCACTACAGTTTAACACAGAAACCATAGACAAAAAGCTTTCCCAGTGTTTCTTCCTCTTAGCAAATTTGTCCACTTTCTAAAGTCTAATAAAACCAGTGGAAGACTATCAGTTCAGTGCCTGGATGAAGAATGTGTGACCCTGGGCAAACTGCTTCATCTCTCAGTGGGTGAGTTTCTTCACCTATAAAATAAAAAGGGGTAACTTGGGTGTTATGGATCAGCAAAAAAAGGAGGGGCAAAGGCTGCCAATTTTGCATTTTGCCAAAAAACACACAAAACTATTCTCTAATTTCATAAAAGAAAAGTCTTCTTTAACAATTCTTTACATTGAACAAATGGAGCACTGGGGAAAACTCACTACTGAGCTGGCAGCCATGGCCAGGAGGGCTGGATTTAGAGTCAGCTGACAGTGAATCCTGGCTCCCCAACTTCCTAGAGATGCGCCCGTGGGCAAGTTACCTCCCTGTGCCTTAGGTTTTCATATGGCAAGTTAAAAATAATGATATACCATAGTTTTTCTTACGGCTTTTCAAAATACATTTCTCAACTTCTAAAATTATATCTAGAAAAGAAACAAAAGTCAGTCTCAGTAGACAAGTCTCAGTAGTCTCACACTGAAGACACGTGTAACCAGGCCTGACTGTAGCTTTAACCACTTATCTCATAGGACTGCGATTATGATGAGTTAGCATAGAAAGCATTTAAGAAAGTGCCCTGCCACATAGGAAGCTTGTAAATGTCAGCTTTCCTTATTACCTTTAGTTTTCTTATTTTGGGCTGGGTCAATGAAAACCTTATCACAGGCCAGCACCTGTCCAGAGACTTGATTTAGAAACCAACAGATTGCCGGGCGTGGTGGCTCACGCCTGTAATCCAAGCACTTTGGAGGCCAAGGCGGGTGGATCACCTGAGGTTGGGAGTTCAAGACCAGCCTGACCAACATGGTGAAACTCTTTATTAAAAAAAAAAAAAAGAAACTAACAGATTAGACAACCGCTTTCTCCCCATTAAACTCCTGTTGTAGTCTTTTTGTTTTTGAGACATAGTTTCACTCTGTCGCCCAGGCATGATCTTGGCTCACTGCAACCTCTGCCTCCCCCATTCAAGCAATTCTCGTGCCTCAACCTCCCGAGTAGCTGGGATTACAGGCGCGTGCCACCACGCCTGGCTAATTTTTCTATTTTTAGTTGAGATGGGGTTTCGCTATGTTGGCCAGGCTGGTCTCAAACTCCTAACCTAAAGTGATTTGCCTGCCTCAGCCTCCCAAAGTGCTGGGATTATAGGCGTGAGCCACCATGCCTGGCCTGGCACTCTTTTTTAAACTTAGTTTTGACTAAGTTTTAAAAGTTTCAACTTTTAATTATACACGTTCTTTTCTGACAGTATCACTTTCTTTCACAAGCTATTTTAAAGCTCAGGAATGGAGAGCATATCTGGCACAGCTTTACTACTCTAGCTCTCACAACAGCCCTGGCCTCAAAACATACTTGTGGCCTGAAGCTGATGTGTGCTCCCGTCTTCCTAACCAGAAATTGGGGGCAGCCCTGGCCTGCAGGGCCTGGTAAGGTCACCTGGCCCACACTTAGGATTTGGTTCACATGCGTGCCACTCCAAGGCATACCCTTCAACAATATCAACAATTGTCAACACTTATACAGCACTTGCTGTGTGTGCCTGTCCCTATGAAGCACTTTCTATATATGTACTCATTAAACTTCCACAACACTCTATGAAGTATGACCATTATTATGCCTATATACAAAAGAGGGAACTAAGCACTGGGACGTTAAGTAACTTGGTCAAGGTTGCACAGCCTGTAAGTGGCAGAGCTTGGGTTCAACCCACTCATTCAATGCATAGATTCTAGAATTCAACCCAGGCAGCTGAATTCTAGAATCTACGCATTAAATCTCTTAAGGCCAGAGCTGAGAAATCTGTGGAGACAGGTCAGTGTGGAATTCTCCTTTGCTAAAGGGTTAGGCAAGTAGGTAGCACACCCTACCTTCACTGAGTATCCGAGTGCGAAGATAACCCGGGGCTTTAATATGACACAGCGGCAACTGTCACTCCCCTAAATGACACACTGTAATTACATCCTTTTAGGTAAGTGCTCAAACAAGATTTCATAGTATCTTACCGAAGCAGTTCATCCTGGACTTCAATCATACGCTGCCTTTTCTTTTCGATATCTGAAATCATCTAAGTAACACAATCATTTGTGTTAAAATTAACTTTGTAACTATTTGAGCACTGCCACATACACTGCCAGGTAATGAAGTCCAGTGGAAAACAAGACAGACCCAATTCTTACCATCACAGACTTTGGTCTAATGGGGAAGACAGACATTACATACAAACGGTACGTAATTACAACTTGCAATACTTGCTATAAAGGAAAAGAAGAGAGAACTCTGGAAAAGAAAAGCATGGGTATCTTCAGAATGACTGGGGAAAAGCAGGAGTCAGGTCTTTACTGGACCCTGTGACCTGTAAAGTAAGATTTTATCTAGGCGCACTAGGGAACTATCAAAGCAGGGGAGTGCTGTGATCCACTCTATTTTAAAAGGAACATTTCAATATATTTTATTATCTCAGCCATTTAGTCACTTTTAGTGATTACCTAATACTCCACTGTTAGACATTCATAATGTTCCCATTTCAAAATGAGCAATGCAGAAATGACCAGTGAGAATTTAAAACTGAAAAGAAAAAGAGAAACACCTCAAAGCTTGTAATCACTGGAAGGAAAATGTATGTATTTTAAGTCCATTTCTATTTGAAATGTAGAGGTAGACTTCCACTCCTGGACTCATCTCTGATGCTCGGAAGTCATTTGGTCCAACCATTTACAGGTGAGCAAAGGAGGCTCTTGAGCTTATCGCCCACTGCAGACCCAGGGGTGTACAGCGTATGGGAGGTAGAGCATTGAAACAGCAGAGCCAGGACTAGACATGAGGTCTCCTGACCCCTAACCCAGTATTCTTCCCAGGCTATCCTTCTACCTGTAGCAATTCTTTATTCTAAAGGGTTGTGCTTTTTGACATTCAAAAAAGCAATAAATATATGTTAATATATATCCATATAAGTGGTCATTTTGGACTTGGTAGTCATTTTTGAGCTGACTTTGGGACATTAATAAAAAGCTTAAATTTCTGTCTTTAATTATAAAAACAATTATTTTGACATCTGTGCAGCTTTAGGAATCAAAAGTGATTAGGCTCCCCATTCCTTACCTTGCATTAATAATACCAACCAAATCAACCACAAGATCAAGCAAATAAAAGCCTAACAAGATTATGAAATCTATTCACACTCCAAAGACTGTAAACTCAGAGTCAAGTCTTCACGTAACTCTACGTCAGTATTGTATTTGACTCTATGACTCTCATCACATAAATAATTTACCTTAGCATTCTTCCTTTTCAGATTTCTCAACGTCTGGCTTTCTTTAAGCTACACAGAACAAAAAATATATATGTACATTACTTTCCAAAAGTAAATTAGTTTCACATGTATCACATTTAGTTTAAAAAGTTATGTAGAATATGGGTAGTTCTAATGAGTTTAAAACCATACTGCCAGCAAATGCAAGCTTTTCTAAGACAACAATATGCTGCTTCAGCATTAGTGAAAAACAAAAACCTTAGGCCAACAAATGTATGTCAGGGAGCTTACCAATTTGGTGATTTGTTCTTTAACGTTATAATAAAATGTGTCCATGGCTGCCTTACAAATTTTAGATTCTATTCTTTTTCTGTAGAGGAATTAAAAAAAAGTCTAAGTACCATAATGGATTTTGTCAGGCGTTTCATTTGCTTAACATATAAACAAACATACACATACAATTTGGCATATACTTTTTAATTTTAAAAATCTCTTATTTTTTATAATTTCAATTTTCATTTTAGATTAAGGGATTATATGGGTATACTGCACGACACTGAAGTTTGGGGTACAACTGACCCCATCACTTAGGTAGCGAGCTTAGTGCCCAACAAGTTGTTTTTCAGCTCTTGAATCCCTCTCTTTCTTTGAGGAGTCCCCAGTCAACTGCCATCTTTATTTCATGTTCACCCACTTATAAGCAAGAACATGTAGTATCTGGTTTTCTGTTCCTGCTATAATTCACTTAGGATAATGACCTTCAGCTGCATCCACATTGCTGCCAAGAACATTTTTTTTTTTTTAAGGTTGTGCAGTATTCCATGGTTTACAGGTATCATATTTTCTTTATCCAACCCACAGCTGATGGGCACCTAGGTTGATTCAGTCTTTGCTATCATGGATAGTGCTGCACTGAACTATGAGAGCACCATTCTAAATAACTAAGATGGCAATGTTTAGCCTGCAGCATTTTCTCAGGCTGAAAAAATACTGGAAACATGTTATCAGCAAAAGAAAAAGAACAAAAATATTTTTCCTAAGCCCTCTGGTATGGGGTCATCTTAATTCCTTGATACTGACCAACCTCACAGGTGATTACCAAGTAAGGTAGAAATGCCTATGGCTAGGCTAATTCCAGTCTTTTCCTACTACCTGACATACCCAGCAGACTTTATTCCCTCCCTCTTTGCCTGTTGGCAAGAGGAAGGGCAACTGTGTAACACATTTGGATTGGCCAAAAGTAGCCATAAATCGGGTGTTTAGTTCTTCAGAAACTTTAAAGCTCACACAAACTGCTTCAGGTCCCTGTCATTGGGGAGAAGAGATCTGGTGGCCAGGCTGATTCTCCTGGCTTGGCTCAGTCACCCATTAAGATGGTTATTATTAAAAAACAAAACAGCAAGTATTGGTGAGAAAGTACAGAAATAGGAACCCTTGTGTTGCTGCTGGAAATGTAAAATTATATAGTCACTGTGGAAAACGGTATTGGCAGTTTCTTAAAAATAAAAAAAAAAAAAATTAAACATAGAATTACCATATGATCCAGCAATTCCTTTTCTAGGTATACACACAGAACTGAAAGCATGGGCTTGAGTATCAGTTGTACACAATGTTTGTAGCAGCATTATTCACAATAGCCCAAAGGTGAAAACAACTCAGGTGTCCACTGATAGATGAATGGATACAGAAAATGTGTTAAGGCTGCGCACGGTGGCTCATGCCTGTAATCCCAGCACTTTGAGAGGCTGAGGCGGGCAGATCATGAGGTCAGGAGTTCCAGACCAGCCTGACCAATATGGTGAAACCCCATCTCTACTAAAAATACAAAAATTAGCCGGGCGTGGTCGCATGCGCCTGTAGTCCCAGCTACTCAGGGAGGCTGAGGTGGGACAAACACTTGAACCCGGGAGGCGGAGGTTGCAGTGAGCCAAGACCACACCACTGCAATCCAGCCTGGGTGAAAGAGAGACTCCATCTCAAAAAAAAAACAACAAAAAGAAAATGTGTTAAAATGATGACTGCGTAACAATGTCTCAGTCAACAGTGGATGGCACATACAATGTACCTAGTGACACCACTGCTGACATAATGTTATAGCACAATGCATTACTCATATACTTGTGGTGATGCTGGTGTAAACAAACCTATAGTGTTGCCTAGTTGTGTAGAAGTACAGCACATGTAATTACATATACTACATAATACTTGATGATAAATGACTGTTATTTGTACTATAATATAGTACACTTGTTGTACTATACTTTTAATCGTTACTTTATAATGTACTTCTCCTTATTTAAAAAAAAAAAAGTAAACTGTAAAGCAGGTCTTTCAGGAGTATCCCAGAAGAAAGCACTGTTAGCACAGGAGATGCCGACTCCATGTGCTGAAGACCTTCCAGTGGGATGTGGCGTGGAGGTAGGAGAAAGTGATGTCGATGATCCAGACGCTGCGTAGGCCTAGGGTGTGTGGGGGTGTGTGTGTGTGTGTGTGTTAGTTTTTAACAAAAATGTTATAATAGTTAAAAGAACAAACTTTTTAAATAGAAGAAAGCTTATAGAATAAGGATATAAAGAAAGAAAATATACAGCTGCATAATGTGCTTTTAAGCTAAGTGCTATTGCAAGAGTCAAAAATTAAAAATTTAAAGTTCATAAAGTAAAAAAGTTATGGTAAACTGTTTACTAAAGAAAAAAGTTTTTAAGTTTAGTGTAGCCCAAGTGTACAGTGTTTATAAAGTCTACAGGTGTGTAACAGTAATGTCCTAGGCCTTCAGATTCACTCAATGACACCGAGAGCTACTTCCAGTCCTGGAAGCTCCATTCGGGTTAAGTGCCACATACAGGTGTAACATTTTTTATTTTTTAATTTATTTTTTTGAGATAAGGTCTCACTCTGTCACCCAAGCTGGACTGAGTAGTGTGATCATAGCTCATTGCAGCCTCAAACTCTTGGGCTGCAGTGATCCTCCTGCCACAGCCTCCTGTGTAGCTGGGACTACAGGCATGTGACACCACAGCTGCTTAATTTTTAAGTTTATGCCCCATTTAAAAAATAATTTCTAATGTAATATATTATTTGATAATGTAATATCAAATCATGATTTTCAGATGTTAAAGTATTTTTTAAATATGCCAGTCACAGTGGCACATCCTGTAATCTCAACTACTCTGGAGGCTGAGGTGGGAGGATCCCCTGAACGCAGAAGTTGGAGACCAGCCTGGGCAACACAGCAAGACCCCATCTAAAGAAAGCTTTTTTAAAATAAGAACTGGTCAGGCCTTTGCATGTGGCTTTTTCAATCACAAAGGTGATGGTCTACACGAGACAGCCCTTCCAAATTCTAGCAACATAAAAGTCTGGCAAAATTCAATTAATTGAATCAGCTATAGATTATTCTAAGAGTTTGTAATGTTGCATTTCATGGAATACTTCCCTACTTATACATAACCTGCTTATCATCCGTTTATACTGATGTAACAATGAAGCTATTAAGGTGTGAGTGCTAGGTACAGGATACTAAAAACAGACCTTTAAATAGTAGTTGACTTAATTTCAAAAGAGTGGCGTGTTTGATGTAGCTGAGAACACCATATTGTCAAGGAAACAAGATGAGATTAGTGATTCCCCAGAATTTGGTATGACAAAAACACAAGGTTGTACTGCAATGTTAAAAGTCTAAGAAAATTACTATGCCTCTTCTAAATCATTTCTTTTATCAAGAACTTATTACCAGTTACTTACAATGCCATTTTCCCCTAAAACAACAGGAATCTATAATAAGCTTCCTATAATAGATTTGTGAATGGGAAAAGGATAACACAAGCAAGACGGTCTTGAGTGTGTTAAGAGAACTGCGCTACTTTTAACAGGAAACTGGCTCTGGAATATACAGTACAGAAGAGTCAAACAGGCACTTCCTACAATGATAATGATGAGTTCACATGACAGGCTGGCTCCTTTCCCCAAGCTAACCCAGAACTAGAGGCAACACCACCGAGAAAATGGAGAAAGCTGTGAAAACCCTGAGGGGGAGGTCATGTAGAGAGGATGACTGCTGTGAGAGGTCGCACTGTGGCCAGGGAAGGAACAGAGAGCTGAAGGAAGCTGATTACTGCCTCTTCCCATCACCGATCTCATCGATAGTGCACCTGATCCACCCCCGCTCCCCTGCCCCTGCAGCAACTCAGACCTCTATCAGTGTGTCCTCAAGACTGAAACTCGGGTTGGGCTTGTGGGGCCTGTAGAAAAACAAGAAAGGCTGACTGACTTTGGGCAGCTGTTTCCTCACCCTTCCCTGGCCAAACCCCCATGCTGGAGAATGATGACTCAGAGTCCATCTTCTCTTCCTGCTGCTCCTCTTTGGAGGGCGAGGGGTGAAGTGCTGACCTGACAGGCTGCTTTGTGAGATGAGTCGCTGAGGCTGCCCAATAGGGCTTACCCCACACCTTCTGCACTCACTGGCACTAACAGGGACTGAGGTTTGACCTTCTTCAATCCACACTGTCTGACAGAAGCTGACAGCCCAGGGGAAAATAAGCTCAGAGGCTGGAATAACAAGACACTGGAGGAACCCAATTATTTCAAAAAGAAAACACATATCAGAAACCTTAACAGAAGCAGATATTTTATAATAGTTGATCCAGTAATTTTAAATTAGCCCAACAGATATTCTAAGGAAGATATTAGTAGCATAAAACATGAATATAAGAAGACACAAAAAAGCACCAGAAATAGCCAGGTGTGAGTGGCTCACAACTGTAATCCCAGCTGTTTGAGAGGCTGAGACAGGTGAATCACTTGAACCTGGGACCATCTGGGAGGTGGAGGTTGCAGGGAGCCAAGATCACGCCACTGTACTCCAGCCTGGGTCACAGTGAGACTCCAATCCAAAAAAAAAAAAAAAAAAAAACCCAAAAAACAAAAGCAGAAATATTAATATAAAAGCTAAGTTAAATAAAGAAGTCAATAGGTGAGACAAATGACAGAATAGATATTTCTGAGAATAAATTAGCAAATCTAATTTCTTAGAGTGAGGAAATCTCCCAGTGAATGAAGCAAAGGATAATAATTAGAGAACAAAAAAGAAAATTAAAATTGTTTTAAATTCTTAGAATTAAAAAATGTATTGTGTTCGATAGCAATAGATTAAAAAAAAAAAATAGACCAGGGATGGTGGCTCATGTCTGTAATCCTGGCTAACATAGTGAAACCCCGTCTCTACTAAAAATACAAAAAATTAGCCAGGCATGGTGGCTCTCGCCTGTAGTCCTACCTACTCCAGAGGCTGAGGCAGAAGAATTGCTTGAACCCGGGAGGCAGAGGTTTCAGTGAACTGAGATTGCACCACTGCACTCCAGCCTGGGTGACAGAGTGAGACTCCATCCCAAAAATAAAATAAAAGTCAAAATTAACAAAAACCTTGGAATGAAAAGGTCAGGTCCAATACAGTGAAATTTAAGAATATCAAAGAAAAAAAAACAGTTTAGAGAGCTAAAGAACAGACCACATATAAAGAAGTAAGAATTAGACATCAAATTTTTCAAAAGCAACACTTGATGTAAAAGAATACAAAGTTTCCAAAGCATTTAAGAAAATAATTTAAAACCTCAAATATATCCAGCTAAGCTGTCATTCAAATTCAAGGATATAATCAAAATAATCAGAGGGTTTAGAAGTTTTGCAACATAAAGAGCCACAATGAAGTGTTGGATAAATTATTTAAATAAGACTAAATGCATAGCTATAGGATGTTGCAAGAAAATATATAAAAGGGATCAAATACCTAAGTAAATTTTGTTATTGTCTTAAAAACAGAGACATACGCACATGACAAAAGTGGAAATTTTATCTACCTTAATCTAGAATTAAAGGTGGGAAGTTATAAACACAATTTTTTTTAAAGTGAAAAAAATTCAGAACATCAAAAAGTAGAATAAAAAAGTTAAGTGAAAACATTATCAACATATTGTTCAAGATACAGCGATAATTACAATAAATGTTAATGGATTAAACTCAACAGTTGAAGTTCAAAGACTGATATACTGAATTTAAGAAGACTAATAAGGAAATAAAAATTTAAGGTCACAGAAAGGTTGAAAGTAAAAGAAATTAAAAAGAATGCAAAATCTGACAAACGCTAGCAAAGGAAAATGATGATGCTTATTAGTATCAGGTACAGTAAATTTTAAGACAAAGAAAGTATGGTTAGGAATAGGGTGGGTGACCAGATAAAATGTCCAATCTGAAAAACAGAGCAATTTTAAACATGATTTTCCTGATAGTCTCTAAATATATACTGCACAAATGAATAGAAGTACCAAGAAAAACTAAACATAGATCCAATAATTACAGATTCTATCTAGATTCAGTGATCAGAAATTCTAGAAAGATGATGTACAAGGTCATGAAGAAAGCCTCAAAATTAAGAAAAGCAAATAGGTATCACCAGGCCATGATCTCTGACCACAACATATTTAAGACAGAAAGTTAATACAAAAATGTAAATTTAAATGTCTACATATGTGGACATATAAAAATATATAAATTCTCCAAAGAATTAAAGAAAAAATAATAATAAAATGTAAAAATATCTAAAACAATGACAATGAAAATAAGTACATAACAAAAACTGTAGGATGAGCAAAAATGGTGCTTCAAGGGAAATTTATTAGGTAAATATACCACATCATCAAAAGACTTACGTATACTCTTGGTGGACTTTGCCAAATTCAGGCAAAACAACATTCATCTCCATGATGTCACTGGTTTTCTTTCCGTCCAGACACATATGCACAGTATTGGAAGTATCTAGAATATTAAGATAATATGCTGATTATTCATATTTTGGCTATAGGTCCAGAGTTCTGAAAGCCTGACACAAAAACAGTCCCACTGAATTGTAAAAGACACCTACTTCAAGAATCAGAAAAGGAGCCGTACTCACTTCTTATCCCTGTGCATAGTCTTGCAAACCCCTACATACACTTTCACTCTAACTGCTGTCTTGCTGGTTTTCCTATTTCTGCTAAAGCAACCAAAAGCATTGCTGCCTTTTAATCACCTGTGTCTTTATTTAGTAGTCTGCTGTTATTTAACATTACTGGGGATAAGTTCTTCACTGTTAGCTGTATTTTCTGAATTTTAATCCATCGGATAGGCCACTCATAAGATACAGCAAGATTACTATTTAAATAATTGTAGTAATATACCAGACAGGAATCTGAAGACCTTGGTTTTAGTTTGAGCTTCTTTCTTACTAGTCAGAAGATCTCAGGCAAGTCATTTAACCTTCCAGGGGTCATTTCCTCAATGATAAACAGAAGAAATAAAACCATGCTCTTTTGAGACTCAAGCAAGAAAGTATCTGTTAATGCATTTACAAAATCTATAAATTACATCTGTAAGGTGTTATTATCAATTTCCAAAGCATATCCCAATTTTTTCTTTTAAAAAATTTTTTTGAGACAGTGTCTTACTCTGTTGCTCAAGCTGCAGTGCAGCAGCACAATCACCACCATTACAGCCTCAAAGTATAGGCTAAGTAATCCTCCCACCTCGGCCTCCCAAGCAGCTTGTACTACAGGTGTATGCCACTACGCCTGGCTGTTTTTGAAAACTTTTTGGAAAGGTGGGGTCCCACTATGTTGCCCACGCTGGTCTTGAACTCCTGGGCTCAAGCAATCCTCTCTCCTCAGCCTCCCAAAGTGCTGGGATTACAGGTGCATCCACTATGCCCAGCCCCCAATTTTCTGTATAATGTTAACATAAGCCATTGGCAGGATAGTCTACTCTTCTTCCATAACTAACTCCTTGTTTAATACTGTAATACTGACAAACATACTGGGAGTTTGTCTCCAGATTCACAATAACCTGAGCACAACTCCTGGCTGTGGTGGATTAATGACAGTCGCCAATTCTTTGCCACTCTTCCCTATTTCCGTTCCCTTGAATCTAAGATAGCCCTATGATTGCCTTAATCAACAGAACATGAAGAAGTAAAAGGCCAGGTCTCAGGGGATCCGCAGCTTCTGCTTTTCAGCTCCTGCAATGCTCCCTCTTGTATGTCAACTGTCACATACAATTCTGACTACCAAAGAAGAGGCAAGCCCAAGCTAGCCACTGAAAAAGAGGGCACATACAGGAGGAACAAGACACCAGACACATGAACACAGACATCTTAGACTTTCCACCCTAGCTCAGCCATTAAACAAACAGAATTGACCAAAGCAAAACTGTAAGCAAATTAAACGATGGCTGTTGTCAATCAGGGGCTGGCAAACTTCTGTGAAGTGCCAGACAGTAACTACCGTTGGCTTAATGGGCCAACTGCTCAACTCTGCCATTGCAGTGTGAAGGCAGCCACAGACAATCCACAGAAAATCGAATCTGGCTGTGATCCAATAAAAGTTCATTTTCAAATACAGGCAATGGACTAAATCTGAATTGTAGATATATATGTATTTTTTGAGACAGAGTTTCACTCTTATTGCCCAGGCTAGAGTGCAATGGCACCATCTTGGCTCCCAGTAAACTCTGCCTCCCAGGTTCAAGCGATTCTTTTGCCTCAGACTCCTGAGTAGCTGGGATTACAGGCACGTGCTACCATGCCCAGCTAATTTTTGTATTTTTAGTAGAGATGGGGTTTTACCATATTGGTCAGGCTGGTTTCAAACTCCTGACCTCAAGTGACCCACCCTCCTTGGCCTCTCAAAGTGCTGGGGTTACAAGGATAAGCCACCACGCCCCATCCAACCCAGACATAAGTTTTCTAATCCATGTTTTAGATTACTAAGTTTTAAGGTAGTTTGTTAGGCATTAATACATACCCAAAACACTGGCTGAACCCACTTATGACAAGTTTTTTAACCTAAGTCTCAATTTCTCATCTGTAAAAATGGGGGAAATAATAGTATCTATACTTCATAGGCCTATTACAACAATGAGAGGGAAGATGACAAATCCCTACTCACCTAAACTCAGGACTCCATGATTTTTAGAAAAACCGGTAATCTGAAAAAAGTGGTTCTGCTTTTATAAAAGACACAGTATCTAAAAATCTTATCAGTCTAAATAAAATTTTCCCCAAGCTCTCAGAACACTCAAAACAATTTTTTTTTAAGTTTAATTAAGAAACATTGGCAGGGCGTGGTGGCTCATACCTGTAATCCCAGCACTTTGGGAGGCTGAGGCGGGTGGATCACCTGAGGTCAAGAGTTCAAGACCAGCCTGACCAACCTGGTGAAACGCCTTCTCTACTAAAAATACAAAATTAGCCAGGCATAGCAGTGCATGCCTGTAATCCCAGCTACTCGGGAGGCTGAGGCAGGAGAATCGCTTGAACCTGGGAGGTGGAGGTTGCGGTGAGCCAAGACCGCACCACTGTACTCCAGCCTGGGCAACAAGAGTGAAACTCTTTTTATTTTGGCATCAAAATTGATTTATGATGAGTTATTTTATACACATGAGAACATTTATAAGTGTGTAATATAAAAATGCCTAATAAAAGGGATGCCCATAGGACCACAGTATAGCTGAAGAGAGCACTGGCCGGGTGCGGTGGCTCACACCTGTAATCCTAGCACTTTGGGAGGCTGAGGCAGGTGGATCACTGGAGGTAAGGAGTTCAAGACCAGGTTGGCCAATATGGTGAAACCCTGTCTCTACTAAGAAAAAAAAACAAAAAATTAGCCAGGCTTGGTGGCAAGTGCCTGTAATCCCAGCTACTCAGGAGGCTGAGGCAAGAGAATCGTTCGAACATGGCAGGTAAAGGTGGCACTGAGCAGAGATCACATTGCACTCCAGTCTGGGCAACAAGAGCGAAACTGTCTCAAAAAACAAAAGAAGAGACAGAGAGAGCATTAACAAGACACTGGAAGCACTCTGCGTACCCGACTCCAATGTTTTCTAAACTGTGTGTTTATATTACTCTTCATTATAATTCTATTGCACAGGAATATATTCCTAAACAATGTAGAGTTTAGTTTTGCATGCTTTGGACCTTTTTATAATTGCTTATGCACCAGTATAAGTTTTGCTTTTGTATTCCATTCCATAAATATACTGCAATTTATCTATCAATTCTAATGTGATAAGTTGTTTGCTGTATTTTGCTAGCATGAAAGACAATGTTAAGAGTACTTACATACATGATTCACAGCCATGTTCAATAATTCCTCTAGTAAATATACCCACCAGCAACTGCTAGGTTTCAAAGTCTGAATGTTTTTTCAACTTTGCCAGAGAATGGCCAAAATTATTCTCAAAGCGCTTATATCTCTTTATATCTGCAGTGGTTAAGAATCTCCACTGACAACATCTTTATTAAATATGGACTTGAGAGACTAAAATACTTGCCAAACTAGAAGGTGCAAAAGGGTGTCTCATTGTAGCTGTAAATTTAAATTTCTGTGATTAAGAACAGACTCCCTTCAAATATTTATTTTACTGTTTCGTCTTCTGTAAAAATGTTGGTGTCATCTGCCCCTTTTGCTACTAAGTTGTCTTTTTATGGATACTCCTGTATTTTCTCTAAAAATTGTCCAATTTTACCTGTGATATTTAAGCCTTCAATTCAAAACTACTTTTTAATGTGTGCAAGTCAGAGGCGGTCTCATTTTTCTATAGGGAAAACACTGTCACAGAACCACCTTTCCCACTGCCCAGCAACAACAATTCTGTCATGCATTCATCAAGTTTCCATAAATGCAGGGTCTCTTTTCTGGTCTATCTTTTGGTGGCAGTGTCCCTAAGATTAGAATTAAATGTCTGTTAGATCAGGAGTCCCCAAGCCCCTGGCCACATACTGGTACCAGTTTGTGGCCTGTTAGGAACTGGGCCACACAGCAGGAGGCGAGTGGCAGGGTGAGGGGGATGAGTGAGCATTACCACCTGAGCTTTGCCTCCTGTCAGATTCTTATAAGAGCGCAAACCTTATTGTGAATTGCACATTCAAGGGATCTAGGTTGTGAGCTCCTTTTGGGAATCTAACTAATCATGACTGATCTGAGATAGAACAGTTTCATCCCAAAACCATCCCCAACCCCCATCCATGGAAAAATTGTCTTCCGTGACACCAGTCCCTGGTACCAAAAAGGTTGGGGACTGCTGTGTTAGACCTGCCCATAAAACTATAAAGAACTGAGGGGTTTTTGTTAGTTTAATTAAAAAAACGTAAAACTAGTGTTTGAATTTAATAGTTATAGGATTATTTTAGTTTTCTTCTTCAAAATCCAGCTTCAGTAGCTTTGCATTTTCTAGATATTTATGTGTTGCAATATAGGAGAGGGATGGTATCTCCTTTTCATCTATTTTGGAAGGGAACTGGATTCATTTTTAAAATTTGTTTTTAATTGACACATAGTAATTATACATATTTATGGGAACAGTGTGATGTTTCAAAACATATATGTATTGTGTAAAAATCAAATTAGGGTATTCAGCATATCCATCACCTTATACATTTATCATTTGTTTGTGGTAAGAAGACTAAATATACTCTCTTCTAGCTATTTTGAAATGTGTCATATTGTTAACCAGTCACCCTACTGTGCAACAGAATACCTGAACTTACACCTCCAATCTAATTGTAACTTTGTACCCACTGACTAGCCTCTCCCTATCCCCTGCTCCCTACTAGCCTCCCCTATTTTAAATTTATTCAAATGAAGTTGTTCATTATATTCTTAGTAACATTTTTAACTGTGCAGCTTCTGGTAGGAGTATAAAGTTATATTATACAACCACCTTGGGAATGCAGTTTGCAAAGTTTGGCAGTTTCTTGTAAAATTAAACATATGCCTACCCTGTAACTCAGCAACTTCACTCCTTTTTATTTACTCAAAAGAAATGAAAACATTTTCGCAAAAAACGTGTATAGGATGTTCACTGGCTGGGCATGGTGGCTCACGCCTGTAATCCCAGTACTTTGGGAGGTTAAGGAGGGCGGATCACAAGGTAAGGAGATAATACCAGCCTGACCAACATGGTGAAACCACGTCTCTACTAAAATACAAAAAATTAGCCAGGTGTGGTGGCATGTACCTATAGTCCCAGCTACTCGGAAGGCTGAGGCAGAGGAATTGCTTGAATCCGGGAGGCAGAGGCTGCAGTGAGCTGAGATCATGCTACTGCACTCCAGCCTGGCAACAGAGCAAGACTATGTCTCGGGGGGGGGAGGGGGGGGGGGGGGGGGGGGGGGGTGGGGAAGAGTTCACAGCACCTTTATTCAAATAGCCTAAACCTGAAAACAACTCAGCTGTCCATCAGTAAGAGGCTGGATCAACTGTGGTATAATCACACAATGGAATAAGCTCAGCACTAAAAATGACACCAAACAACAAGGATGGACTGCAAAAAGACTATGCTGAGTGAAAGAAGCCTTACGCAAAGGAGTACACATTATGTGATTCCAACCATAAGAAGTCCCAGAACAGGCAAAACTAATATACGGCAGAAAAAGTGTCCTTGAAGCTACTGCCTCTGGAGATATGGTGTGGGGACTGACATGAAAGAGGCATGGGGGAACTTTCTGGAGTAAATCCTTTACATGTTGACAGTAGCTTGAGTTACATAGGTGTTTGCATTCCCCAAAACCCAATGACTATACATTCAAGAGCAGGGCATTTTATTGTACTGTATATACATTTTACATTCAAAGAAAAAATTGTAAACAATGAACTCCAGTTAATCATGTGCATACTGAAGTACTGCAGAGGAATTACTGATGTCTACATTATTTTAAAATGCCTTTAAAAACTGGACTAATGGATTATTTAATACTTGCTTTACTACCTATCTAATAAATAATAAAATGTTAACTGTAAAATCTAGGGAGTATATGAATATATACTACAAATATTTTTCATCTTAATTGTATGTTGAAAATTTTATGTACTTAATTACAATTTACTACTTTAATAAATTAAGAATAGGGTCTTCTCTTATGAAATTCCTGAATGAGTGACAAAGTATAAAACATCATTTTCTACCTGAATCTATGGCTTCACTTCCTGATTTCTTCCTTATGTCATAAGGCATCTTCCCTTTTTTCTGAGTTTTCTGCAAAAAACAAAACAAAAAACAAAAAAACCCCACAGCATTTAATTTTTAAGAAAAGTTTTCTTTGTCTTAAATCATAAGGATTAACACTATTATCAAACTGTCATTCAGTATTTTAGCCGAGCACAGTGGCTCACGCCTGTAATCCCCGTACTTCAGGAGGCTGAGGTGGACAGATCACTTGAGGTCTGGAGTTCCAGACCAGCCTGACGAACACGGTAAAACCCGGTCTCTACTAAAAATAATACAAAAATTGGCAGGGCATGGTGATGCGTGCCTGTAATCCCAGCTAGTAGGGAAGCAGAGACAGGAGAATCACTTGAACTCAGGGGAGTCAGAAGTTGCAGTGAGCCGACACTTTGCCACTGCACTCCGGCCTGGGCACAGAGCAAGACTCCATCTCCAGAAGAAAAAAAAATTAGCTACAATTCTCATTTAGTTCTAACATAGATTAGTTATATAAATTATCTACATTAATATATGGAAGCATTGCAAACAAACTGTCACAAAATAAGAAAAAATAAAACTGATAACAGATGTTGCCTTGATAGAAAAACTGAACTTTCATTACTTAAGATAACATGGGGAATCAGCTCAAATTTCTGCTCTCAGCTGTGGTAAAGTAACAACTTCCAAACTAGCTCTCTTGCCATAAACAACCATAAAATAGGGGAACAGGGGTGGCAATTCAATTCAGGTACTGGACAATAGGCAACACACAAGACTGGGTTCCTGGAGAAAGGGAAAACTTGGAAGGTGAACCCCATGACTGCCATCCCCACTCCACACACAGTTTCTAGATGGGGCATAGTGAGCTAAAGTCTAGGCAGGGCATGACAATCCTACCCAGCTGAGGCACTTGGAATAAGCTGCTCAGATGAGAGCACAGGCACCTGTGTGTGTGTGTGGGGGGGGGGGTGGCTCCTAAAAGTCCTTGTCGGAGTACTGCCCATGTGCTGGGTGAGACCACACAAAGCCTACCAGAAAGCACTATCATGGGGATAACAATATAATCGATAACAAAGGACAAACAGCACTGGGGTCATGGGACAAAGTAAATGTACCTGGGAAAGAGACAACTCACGGCTCATCAGAAACCATAAAGACCAGAAGACAACAGAATGGCATAAAGAGCTGGGGAATAAATCTGTCAACTCAGAATTCCATAGCCATTGAAATATCCTTTAAAAACAGAGTTAAAATAAAAACACTTCCAGATAAACAAAATCTGAGAGAACTTGTCACCAGCAGACCTGCCATGAAAGAAATGCTAGAAGATATCCTGTAGGCTGATGGGAAAAGATATCAAATGGAAACTTGTATCTACGGGCAGGCAATCAGTGAAATGGAAAAAGGAACAGATAAAACTGCAGAACGGCTGCTGCTCATACTTTTCTTAAAAACAACTCTTTCAGCCAGGTGTGGTGGCTCATGCCTGTAATCTTGGTACTTTGGGAGGTCAAGGCGGGCAAATCACAAGAGATGGAGACCATCCTGGTCAACATGGTAAAATTCCATCTCTACTAAAAATACAATTAACTGGGCATGGTGGTGCACGCCTGTAGTCCCAACTAATCAGGAGGCTGAGGCAGAAGAATTGCTTGAACCTCGGAGGCAGAGGTTGCAGTAAGCCAAGATCATGCCACTGCACTCCAGCCTGGTGACAGAGCAAGATTCCTTCTCCCTCTCCCCAAAAAAAAGGCTCTTTCAAGCAGAAATGACAATGCTATATAAAGTTAGATTAATAACACAGAAGTAAAACATGACAAAACAGCACAAAGGATGGGGATGGACAAATGGAATACATAATATTGTTACATAATTACATTTATGTAGTGGGAGGGAGGTAGTTGTCAAGTAGAATGTATGAGGTGATAACACACTGATTTTAAATAGACTTTACTAATTTAAGGATATATTTTTAACCTGGGAGCAACCACTGAAAAAAATTTAAAAAGGTATAGCTAAGAAGCCAACAGGGAAAATAAAATGAAATACAAAAATAATATTCAACTAATCCAAAATGAGCAAGAGAGATAAAACAGAATCAAATGGAAAACAGTATGATAGATGTGAAAGTCACCAAGTTTAAAATTACATCAAAAGTCAATGGACTTTCAGCACAAGTTAAAAAAAAAAAAACACCGCCTCTATGTAATTGATGAATCAAACAGACCATTCCCCCTCATCAAAAACAAAAAGCAGTAAGGAGACAAAATCTCTGAACCACACTATCAATCAGCTTGACCTCAATTGACATTTACAGAACACAACAGCTGCAAATTCAAGTGCACATGGGATGTTCACCAAGACAGATTAGCAATAGAGATCATGTTTTGCTTCCATTTGTGTAAAGACAGGAAATAAAAATTAGAAAATATATTTGTTTACATATACAAAAGGAAACTCAAAGGATATATAAGAAACTATAAGGTTACATGTGTGTATGTTTAGCAGGTGGAAAGGTGAAGACGACCGGGTAGCAGGGACACCTAATTTTAAAAAGTTTCAAAACATTAAGCTCAAATGAATTAACAATCACATATTAAAAACTTGACCAAAAGACATTACATGTCAAGAATTTTAGAACCAATACAACGACCTAGAATTCTTTTTTCTTTTTTTTGAGATAGAGTCTCACTCTGTTGCTGAGTATATTGGCATGGTGGTATTGGCTCACTGCAACCTCCACCTCCTGGGTTCAAGTGATTCTGCTGCCTCAAACTCCCAAGTAACTGGGATTACAGGCATGCACCACCACACCCAGCTAATTTTTGTATTTTTAGTAGAGATGGGGTTTTGTCATGTTGGCCAGGCTGGGCTTGAACTCCTGACCTCAGGTGATCCGTCCACCTTGGCCTCCCAAAGCGGTAGGATTACAGGCAGCATGAGCCACCACGCCCGGCCTAAGATCTAGAATTCTTTTTTTTTTTTTTTTTTTTTTTTTTGGGATGGGGTTTCCGCTCTGTAGCCCAGGCTGGAGTGCAGTGGCACAATCTCGGCTCACTGCAACCTCCACCTCCTGAGTTTAAGTGATTCTCCTGCCTTATCCTCCCAAGTAACTGAACTACAGGCACCCACCACCACACCTGGCTAATTTTTGTATTTTCACCACATTGGCCAGGCTGGTCTCGATCTTCTGACCTTGTGATCTGCCTGCTTTGACCTCCCAAAGTGCTGGGATTACAGGCATGAGCCACTGCGCCCAGCTATTTTTTTTTAAGACAGAGTCTCGCTCTGTCATCCAGGATGGAGTGCAGTGGTGTGATCTGGGCTCACTGCAACCTCCACCTCCCAGGTTCAAGCGATTCTCCTGCCTCAGCCTCCTGAGTAGCTGCAACTACTGGTGCCACCACGCCTGGCTAATTTTTATATTTTTAGTAGAAACGAGGTTTCACCGTGTTGTCCAGACTGGTCTCGAACTCCTGACTTTAAGTGATCCACTCGCCTTGGCCTCCCAAAGTGCTGGGATAACAAACGTGAGCCACTGGGCCCAGCCAAGACCCAGAATTCTTAACAGCAATTGTTTTCCTAAGGAAATGATCCAAGGAATGCACAAATATTTAGCTACAACAAAAATTCATCGGGCCGGGCGCGGTGGCTCAAGCCTGTAATCCCAGCACTTTGGGAGGCCGAGGCGGGTGGATCACGAGGTCAAGAGATCGAGACCATCCTGGTCAACATGGTGAAACCCCGTCTCTACTAAAAATACAAAACATTAGCTGGGCATGGTGGCGCGTGCCTGTAATCCCAGCAACTCAGGAGGTTGAGGCAGGAGAATTGCCTGAACCCAGGAGGCGGAGGTTGCGGTGAGCTGAGATCGCGCCATTGCACTCCAGCCTGGGTGACAAGAGTGAAACTCCATCTCAAAAAAAAAAAAAAAAAAAAAAAAAAAAAAAAAAAAAAAAAAAAAAAATTCATCAAAGCACTTATAATTTTTAAAATAGCAATTCTGCATTAGTAAGAGATTACTAAACTATGCCATATCCATGAATGGAATGTTATGCATTCATTAAAATGGTATTGTTGAATACTTAATGACAAGTATATGATTTCACTTAGGGTAATAAAAGCTCACTGAAAAGACCAAACAGCATAGACCAAAAAACATGGTGGTTATTTTGGGTTATGGTATTACAGGCAATTTTATCTTCTTTTCTATACCTTCTAGATTTTTTTTTTTTGCAGATGGAGTCTTGCTAACAGAGCAAGGCAACAGCCCAGGCTCGAGTGCAATGGCGCAATCTCGGCTCACTGAAACCTCTGCCTCCCGAGCTCAAGCTATTCTCCTGCCTCAGCCTCCCAAGCAGCTGGGATTACAGGCACACACCACTGCACCCAACTGATTTTAGTATTTTTAGTAGAGACAGGGTTTCAACCAGGTTGCCCAGGCTGGTCTTGAACTCCTGACCTCAGGTGATCTACCCATCTCGGCCTCCCAAAGTGCTGGGATTACAGGCATAAGCCACCGTAACCAGCCATACCTTTTAAATTTTCTAAAACAAACATTTTTATTACATTAAATACAAAATTTATCTATGCAAAGATCTGAAGGAAAGAGAAAATGTTTCATTTCTTCCCTAAAATTTTTCAATAAACTTTTTGCTCTCCAAGGGGATGGCAGACACTCTTACCGATTGACTTTCTATTGCCAAGTTCGCTTTTTCAACAGAAGGCTGGGCACTACGGGGTCCTATCTTTCTAGAAGTGACCGACTCAATTGGCTTCTCTAAAAGATCTGAAGATGCTGTACTTGGAACAGCCTCATGTCGCTGTGTACTTATTTTCTCTGCTGATTTAACTTTTCTTCTTACATCAATTCCTTCAGTGCTTTCAGAGTCATCACTAATGGGCTTGAGCTTTCTTCCTGACTGTGTGGAAGAAAAAACAGCAGTACTTACATAGAAAATATAAATGCTTATAATTCTTACTGTAATAATAGAAAACTATCTAGTCCACGTTCCTCACTTCTAAACTCCAAAATTGAACATAATAGGAATATGGCAACATAATTAGTGCATAGAACAGGAAACCAAAATGAAAGGTTACAATAAACACTCCCAACAATTTACTTTGCCTTTTTAAATCACAACCTAAACACAGTACAAGAATGCTATGAAAACTGACAAGGTACATAAAGATGTGAGACCTCTTTAATGAAAAACACTTCAGATACAAACATATTTTGCTTTTTACTATAAAAGTATTTTCTAAAAAAAGTACTTCATAAAAAATGTTGCTATGGAGTATTTTCTCTATTTGCATCTAATCTAAACAGGAAATGAAATATTTTACAGAACAGTTTCTCTATTTGCATCCAATCAAACTATAACATATTACAAATTAAGGTAGAAGAGAGAATACTCCTACATACCTTTTTTGCACTAATTTTCACAGATTTGTTCTCACTTGTTTCATTTCCAGAAGTGTCTGAACTATAAAAAGAACAAGCCATCAATATCTTGCACACATTCCATTTATATTCACATATGTCTTCTCTCAACTTGCTCATCCAACATCAAAACAGACTTAATTTAATAAGGCGATATCCTACTTGTCACATACAAGCCTGCCACCTTCCCAGATTTAGTGGCTGTCTCCCACATCTTCCCACACCCAGGCCATGTGAGTTTCTCCCAGGCAAGCAAGTAACCTGTTCCATCACTGCAGCAGCTTGTGGTCATGTCTGAGAACTGCACTTTTCTCCAAGTTACCAGTCCCAGGCATACGATCCATCATTTGTACTAAAAACTAATCCACTAGGCCCATCCTTAGGTGATAGTAAAGTGAACACCTTCTTTTATCCTTTTTTCTCATACCCCCCCACACCCTGCTACCTAGATGGAGTCTTGGTTTGTCACCCAGGCTGGAGTGCAGTGGTACAATCTTGGCTCACTGCAACCTTCGCCTACTGGGTTTAAGCAGTTCTCCTGCCTCAGCCTCCCAGGTATCTGGGATTACAGGTGCATGCCACCATGCCCAGCTAATTTTTGTATTTGTAGTAGAAACAGGGTTTCACCATGTTGGTCTCAAACTCCTGACCTCGTGATCTGCCTGCCTTGGCCTCCCAAAGTGCTGGGATTATAGGCATGAAAAGGAGAAACAGCCCTAACTTCTGATGGGAGATGAAATTCATCTTTTTATTCTGTTTAGTACAACAAATTTATTTAACACCAATCTCAAAATGCAAAGGGCAGTGAATAAAATTACTTTAACATTGAGAGGCTTTCCTTCGAAGGGTTCACTGTCTAGTAGGAAGGCCAAAGATAGTGCAGAGTGATGACCTGGCAAGCATCTGACAGAGAAGATGATGTGGAGATACGGCTGGGGTATTAGGAAAGGCATAATGGTTACGACACTTGCGCTGACTGGTAAAAAAACTTTTTCAGAAAAACAAGTGTGGAGAAGGGCATTTAAAGTAGATGGAACAGTTAATGTAAAAGCATAGTGGTGTAAAACAGCCCGGCATGTTCAAGAAACGTGCAACTGAGTACAGATAGAACGTATTTTCTAAGAGAAGATACCGAATGCTAGAGAAGTCAAAGGCTATGACTGACAGGCTGCAGGACACCCACAGAGGCATGCTGCATGGGTTTCCTACGTTCAGCAGCAGCCTCCAGCTGCAGTGCCTTCTGGATCCACTGTAGCATTTGGGCAGGGGCTACAGCTGTGGGCAATTTCTAGCCAACAAGTAAGCACAGCAAGGGTCTGGGGCCTGGCTGTTTCTGCCCAATACAGGCCAGGCCTCCTTTAGCAAACATTGTTCTTCTAGACCTCTGCAATGGGTTGGTCAGAACCATTGGCACTGCAGTGCAGTTTGAGGCCATCTCTGCCCAATCCTGCTTCTTCCAACTTTATTTATCCTTCACAGGTATCACTAATAAACCCCTTCCATTCCTAACTGCCTCAGTGTCTACTCACCCAAGGATCCAAACTGGCACCTAGCCACAGGGAGGTGGCAGGGGTGTAGAGAGGAAAAACAGATTCTCAAGGCAGTCACAGGCCAGAAAAATAGGACTAGCCAGACAGAACATACCAGGATTGATTCCCAGATTGCTGGATTGGAGGGGACTGGGTGAATGGCAAGACCTAGATAATACCAGAAGAGTTCATTGACACTAGATGAGAAGGAAAAAGATGAAGCTCCGTTTTAACTTTGTTGAGTGTGAGGTGTCTATGGGCATCTAGAGCAATATGGCCAATGTGCAAGACATCTTGGAACTCAGGAGAGGGGCTAGACAAGAGACAAACTAGAGAAACAGTAGCATACAGGTAGTTAAAATTATGAGCGTGAACTGGGGTTGATGCAGAAAGAGAGGGCTGAGAGCAGAATCATCTACACATAAAGAAAAAACAGGAGATGAAACAAAAAGGAGCAAGGTGGCTGAACAGAGGGTTCCACCAATTGTTCCCTGCAGGAACACCAAGTTTAACAACTATCTACACAAAGGGAGCACCTTCACACGAAACAAGTCAGCTGAGCACTCACAGTGCCTGGTTTTGACTTCCTATCACTGAAAGAGGCACTGAAGAGGGTAGGAAAGTTTAGCTGCTGTTACCAGCCCTTCCCCATCTCCCAACAGTGGCTGTGTGGCACAGAGAATCTGTGCTCTTGGGAGGAGAGTGCAGTGATTGTGAAGCTTTGCTTTGAATTCTGTGTTGTCCTGTAACAGCGGAAAGCAGAAAGAGGCTGAACTAAACTGATGCCCAACCACGGAGGGAGCATTTGGATTGGTCCTGGTGTGAGGGGAATCACCCATCTTAGCAGTGAGAGCTTGAGCTCTGACAAGCCTTGTTACTGTTGGTTAAAGTGCTCTGGAGCCCTAGGTGAGCTTGATGGGCAGTCTAGGTCACAAGGACGGCAACTTCTAGTACTGAGCTGGGCTTGGAACCAGTGGACTATGGGGGCATGCGACCTTCTCAGACACCAACCAGTGTGGCTAAGGATGTGCTGGCATCACCCCTGCCCCAGGCTCAGGTGGCACAGCCCATGGCTCCAAAAGAGACCCCTTTCTTCTACTTGAGGAGAGGAGAGGGAAGAGTGGAGAAGACTTTGTTTTGCATATTGGATGCCAGCTCGGCCACAGTAGCATAGGCACCAGTCAGGGTCATGAGGCCCCCAATGCAGATCATGACACCTAAGTCCTTTCACTTATCTGGAAAACCTTCACAAAAAAGATGGATCTAAACAAGCCTAGACTCCAATGACTACCATAAATACCTGACTCTTCAATGCCCAGACACTGATGAACATCCATAAGCATCAAGACCAACCAACAGAACATGACCTCATCAAACAAACTAAAATAAGGCACCAGGGACCAATCCTGGAGAAACAGGACATATGTGAGTTTCCTCAAAACAGCTATTTTGACTTCTCTGTCTGAAAGGTCACATATGTCCTGTTGCAAGCTATGCTGCCTTTTGCACACAAAAAAGATTAAAATCTGTATTCATATTTACTTTTATATGCACCAAGAAATTCTGGAAGGACATATAAGAAATAAATAAGGGGGAGAGAAGTGGGTTCTAGGAGCTAGGTGGATAACAGATGTGATATGAAGACTTACTATAAACCTTTTTATATTTTTAAACCATGTGAGTATGTTTCCTATTCGAAATATTCCTCTAAAAATTACATACACCACTGTTTAAAGTGGAGCACATGTTTTCCAAATGTATGACTTTTGGAGTCTTCAAAATAACTAAGTACTATAAAACTTCCCCAATGCAGACAATCTCAAAATGACTTCCTAAGATTTCTGCCCAACTGGGATATTTAATAACTGCAGTTTTGATACTTGGTAAATACATTTAGTAACTGGAATTGACCTATTACCCAATAGAGGTCCCTAAGTCAAAGAGCTACTCTAGTTAATAATTTATAATTAGTACTACAGTTACTAAAGAGTTCTGTAGAACTCAAATTATGTAATTTGCTCTCAAGTTGTCTCTATAAAATCATTTTTATAGAGATTTTCCTGACCTATACCTTCACATAAATCTGAAAGACTCAAACCAATGCGCCTCCGGGACAATGCATCTGAAACAGACTTTGTATTGCTTTGTAATTATCACCCACCATATACAAGGAAACATCTCATTTGTGATAATTAGAGAATCTGCAAATGAAAGGGACCTCTCAAAATCACTTAAAATTCTATGCTGGTAAAATCTTTCCGTACTTTCTTATTTGACTCAAAGCTAAATTATCTTCACAGGCATGATTTCTAGGATAAGGTATGAATTATGTCAGCTATCACAGCTATTATAATTATTATAAGTAATGTCAATTATTAACAAAGTTTTTATGCCCCAGTTCTCTTGAGAAAAAGCGTAATAAGTTGGCTCAAAGGATCTTATTAGCTTCTATCTTAAAGAGTTTCTCAGAAATCCCATTAACCATGAATAAACAATTGCTTGAAATACACCAGTACCTTCTTTTTGCTTCTTTTCCTGGAGAAGTTGAAGGAATAGATAGGCCACAATGTTTGGAGAATTCTTCCTCATCAGCATATATAGCTGTGCTGTGTAAAGGAGGATCTTTTGAAAGGCAAAAAAGAAGCACAACTTTAAAAGTCTGGCTATTTGGGCGGTATTGAAGTTTATTCCCTTACAATGGAATACAAAACAATCTTTGTTTAACTGACTTACAAAATCAAAATCAATTACATAGGCCACTTTCCAAATGTTTTTGATCTCACAACTCCACTCCCACTATAAGCCCAAGAGAAGTGAAAAAAGTCCACATAAAAACTCATACATATATGTTCACAACAGTATTCACAGTGGCCAAAAAATAGAAATCACCAAAATGTAACTCATGGGTAGATAACAGCTGTTGCATATCCAAACAATGGAGTATTACCGAGCTATAAAAATTTGTAGGAACGAAGTAGATACACACTACAACATGGACAAACCCTGAAAACACAAGTCACAAAGTACCAAGAGTCTAGGTTTCCACTGATATGTCCAGAAATAGCAAATCCGTAGAGACAAGAAGGAGATTCATGGCTCCAGGGCTTCAAGGAAGGGGGAATAATAGGGAGTGACTGCTCAGGGGTACAGGGTTCTCTACAGGGTGATAATTTTGTGGTATTAGATAATGCTGACGGTTGTACAACCTTGTGAATAAACTAAAACCCAATGACATGTAAACTTTAAAAGGATGAATTTTATGGTATGTGAATGTATTTCATTTTTTAAATTAGGGATTTTAGGTTAAGATATTTTAGATTTAGATAAATAGAACATTTTAATCAAGTCATAATAAAAGACATATTCTGGCAAATATATTTCACCTTATAAAATGTATAATATTTTAACAAAAAATTAAACCAGAGTCTTCAAAATTTTAACTTATTCCAGCAAAAATGCCTGGCCACTGCAATTCTGCATGTGGGTGCACGTGATACTTTCTCTGTCATTTCTGTCCTCTGGAGTGTCCAGTGACACACAGTGACAGAAGCAGCCCATCCTGACAACTCACACACTCCTGGCCAGCCAGGTACCGACCTTTTACCCTGCACTCCCAGGAACAGAATTGAAGCTCTCCCAGTGGTTCTCCTGAATCATCCCCTCCCCTCATGAAATTAGGACAAGGGAAAATTACCCATATTCTTCTCTTCCCTAAATCAGTGGCTCTATCAAATGGTGGAGTGAGGCAAGAAATGTATTCTATGTTCCTCTTGTTATAGGGTACTATAGTAAGTGTCCTAATGTGATTGGATTGTTAAGGAATGCTACTAGAAGAGTGCCTCTTTGATAATGATCTTAGTTTCAATCTATTTAGAAGTGAGAAAAATTAATTCAAATTATCAAGTACTACCCAAAGAATATATTTACTACATGCAGACAACTAATTTTTATATTTGAAGATACTTCTATTTTTTATGATGTCTGGCCTAAACGTTGTTTAGAGTTATGTTAGGATAAAGATTTAAAATACTAACCAAAGGTCTCATTTGGTTCTTCATCTTTCTCATTTTCACCTGGCCTGCCAACGCTTGAGACATCAGAATTATCAGGAAAATCAAATACATCAACAGGCTTGCACTTTTGACCAGCTTTCTAAAAGTGAATAAAGTCGAAGTCATTGAGATGGCTCTCACAAAGAACATCACAAGGCTGATTTATGCAGCAAGGATATTCTTGTAATCACTGCTGCCTAAAGAAGCAATCCTTATGCATGGGGTGATGGATAGACTACCTACCCTGACTGGGTCATATACAACATTGTCATGTATGGCAAGATCAAACTGTACCCCACAAATGTGTACAATTACTATGTTTCAGTTAAAATAAAGAAAGAAGCAACCAAACATAACACTTTTTTGGGACACAGACTCTTTTGATAATCTAAGCCATGGATAGGCAAACTTTTTCTATAAAGGACCAGAAAATAAGTATTTCGGGCTTTGATGGCCATAAGTTTCTGTTTTGAGTACTAACTCAGCCACTGTTGCATGAATGCGGACGGTAACAACACAGAAAAGAATGAGCATGGCTGTGTTCCAATAAAATCTGACTTCTGAACAGTTCAATTTGAATTTCATATCATGTTCATGTGTTATCAGATAGTCTTTTCATTTTATTTCAACCATTAAAAAAATGTAAAAACCATTCTCAGCTTGCAGGGATATACAAAAACAGTTGGCAGGCTAGATTTGGCCTATGGGCCAGTTTGCCTAAACCTCTGACCTAGGGAAAGTGATGGGTCCTGTCTCCAGAAATATGCCCATATACCCAAAAGTTCACAGTTTTAAGGGTACACGTGGGTTAAAAACTCCTGAATGAAGGAGAGACACGAGGGTTTACAGTTTAATATATTGACAAGCCCAGGAAGTCTGCTACCCCAAATCTAATGAGGTATGAAAACATATACAAAATGAAAAAAACTTTCATGTAGTTCCGGAAAATGTGGAAGGGTACTAATAACAGATACGAAAATAAGAAAATTCTGGAAGATATAAAGGAGATCAAATAAAATTGGCAAACAAAACAAAAATTTGACCATTCAGATGCCCCCCAGTGAAAGATTCATTCCTAGAGTGCTTGGGGGTGAAATGCTGAGACAGCTGGCAGGTCTTCCAGCCTCTCCCAAGGAATAGGGAGCCTCCACCACATGTAAAGCACTGCCTTGCAGAGGGAAGGACAGGTAAGCTGAATCCATTCCAGATACTTTGGGCTTTCAGCTAAGGCTGGAGCTTCGAGAAACCCCTCCAAGGCACACTGGACTTTGGCTACCAATGGCAAGGGCAGGCAGGACAGCTGAGAGAAATCCACCCAAAGGACCAATGAAGTAATGCTGGGGTGGGAGCAGAGGGCTGAGCAAAATCCTGCAGGGAGATCCCAGGGTTTCCCAGAGGGGAAAAGAGCTATGTTCTGCAGGAAGGGCTTAAGGACCATGCAGTACAGAGAAAGTTCAGGGCAGAATAAGCAGAAGGAGCTCCTTCCAGGGTGCCTGGCACTGTCACACAGTTAATGTGAGATTACAATGCCAATTACACAAGCCACTGGAAAAGAATTTAGAATTAGCTACGAGTGTTACAGAAATGTACACGCCTTTAACATACATTCTAAGACTCTGTTAGAAAGAAAAGTAAACCTGTAATGTGAACTAAGTGAAGTACCATGAAATCATAAACAAGTCTTTTAAAACCACAATGAGAAATGACTAAGTGAAAACAGCAAAATATAGAGCATTGTACAATTTTTATATGAAGTCAATTACCTAAACGAAAATAAAACCAACCTGGGCCCAGAAAAAAAGGAAATTCTAAAACATTAACAAAAGTCATTTTCTTTGCTATACTTGAAAAAGTGTGAGGAAAATGAACATTTTCACTACAATAAACACTGAACTTGCCAACTGAGGTCTACAAAACTCAGGTACCCACAAAATGTTATTTTGTACTGTCAATTTTGAGGAAATCACAACACAAAAAGATAACTCACTTCTTTCATGGAATGTGTTCTTTCTAAGGTGTTCTTTGACTGTCTTGCACTATTAAACAGCAAAAAAACACAAGAGTTAGGAAATAGTTAAAATAACCAAGGAAACAGCATAGTTATAACCCTTTCCACGCATTTTTACCAAAAGGAAAAAGAACAAAAACAAAAAACAGAACCCATATGCCATCATTTTTATAGGTTAAATCATATCACCAATTTATAAAATAACATACTTCTCCCCCTCAGGGACATGGAAAATTGGAATCCTGCTGTTACCATTTTTCCCTGAGGCCTTAATCAATCAGCAGTGATTGACTTTCTCTGCAAAGCTGAAGGGGTGGTAGGCTAACACTAAACTCCAACACCTGCTCCATCTTGTGCCTGGCTCTTGTACATCCTTTTCTCGTTTTATTCTAACAGTCCTAAGAGACAGAAGTGAATCAATCCCGTTACAGATGTATGCTTACCCACAGCAACACCAGGCAAGGAAGTAGACAAGCCTACACTGAAATTTACATCAGTTCAAATCCAGGGCCTGCCCTCGACATCCCTTCACACTAAACTGAGCCATAGCTTAAAATGATAAAGCCATAGCTTAAAAAGATATATATTCAACAAACTTCAAGGAAACAGATATAACAATGGTGACTAGAATAAAAAGGGGAAATAACAGTGGCAGGGAACAATATATTATGTAATATTATTACTAATAATATTGCCAGGAGTCAGTGAGTATGTACAGAGCATCCTCCATGGACCAGGCATTGTGCAAGGGTACAGGGATACTATGGGATAATACAGTACATAAATCCCGACTTTAAAATATGCCATGCTGATTGCAGCCGTATTTTCATTTGCAGATAGCAAAGTCAGCTTACTGAGTCTGAACCAATGTTTGAGTAACCTTTTGATATAATTACAAGCAGAGAAGTTGTAAACATAGTACAAGGACCTTCTGCATGCCATTTACCCAGGTTCCCTCACTACTTACATTCCGTCTCTTTTGCGCTATGTAACTGGAGATACTGTGCACCTCCACCCACTAAGTACAATTATGTCTTTCCTAAGAAAGGGGCATTATGCTACATATTCATGGTACAATTTCTAAAATCAAGAAATTTAACACTGACACCATGATCTAATCTACAGTCCATACTCAAATCACATCAATTGTCCTGTAATGTCCTTTAAGGCTATCAGGCCAGCATTTTTAAAAAAACCAACAGAAAGGGAAGAAAATGGAACATTGCACTGGATATACTATGTCCATAAGCCTTTTATGTGTCGATGTGTGCACACGTGTACTAAGTGTGATGTAAAACATCATTACTGTGAATCAGTTTAAAAAAATAGTTGGAAAAGTGTTTACAGCTGGTGGTTCCCAGACTTGCGTGGCATTGCAATCCTCAGGAGGACTTGTTAAACAGGTTGCTTGGCACACCCCCGGGGTGTCTGATTCAGTACCTCTGGGGTGTGGCCTGAGATTCTGCATTTCTAACAAGTTAATGATTTGTTTATTTGATTCATGAAACGTAAGGAAGAAAGTATTCGTTTTATAGCAATTTTATACATGATTCTGGGGTTCGGAAAAGTACTTATCAAGGGTCACACACCCGGGTAACAGAAACACAATTACAAGCCAGGCCACATAAACTTCTTAACCTAAACTCTTTGAGCTGTCTCGTCCTTTCTGGGGATGGGGGTAGGGGAGCGGGGTTGTGGTTCAAGGTTCCTCCTTGCTTTAGGCTGGAGTCAAGGTAGGGCTTCCGCGAGAGAGAAACCTCTGTGACAACCCATAGGTAAAATTTATTGGCCAGGCGCAGTGGCTCACACCTGTAATCCCAGTACTTCGGGAGGCCGAGGCGGGCGTATCACTAGGTCAGGAGAGCGAAACCATCCTGGCCAACGTGGTGAAGTCCCGTCTCTACTAAAAATACAAAAATTAGCTGGACGTGGTGTGCATGCCTGTAATCCCAGCTACTTGGGAGGCTGAGGCAAGAGAATCGCTTGAACCAGGAAGTCGCAGGTTGCAGTGAGTCAAGATCGCGTCACTGCACTCCAGCTTGACGACAGAGCGAGACTCCATCCCCCCAAAAAAAGAAAACAAAAAGAAAAAAACTTCTGTTATATGTGTATTAGTGTGTTTTGGGAGACGGCATGAACAAATTTCATGAGTCTCAAACCCAAAAATGCTTAAAAAAAAAGACAACAAAACCCACTACCCTTTCAGATAAACTTGAACCCTTTTCAGCTGAGATTCTTTCCTAATCCTCTTCTCCCCTGGCGGAGTCTTCAGTTCTCCTCCACTGGCCACACGAGTCTGGACTCGGTTTCCCCACCTACCTGCGGTGTCCTGCGGCAGCTTTGCACCCTAACCCCGCCTGTACCAGCACCTCCTTCTCCGGGCAGTCTTCCCAGGCCCAGGGGACTGTTCTCTTCAGGACGTCTGGGGGTGTGCTCTCGGGCACCGTCAGCGGCATGCTTGGGTGGCATTCGCCAGCGCATCAGCGACCAGCGTTGCAGAGCGCGGTTTTGCGACCTACCGAACACACGCTTTTTTTTGGTAAACAAAAACTGCTCGAGCCACTCCGGAGAAGGGCTGGCAGCCCGGTCCCCCCGCCGGAGATGGGCTCCAGTCTCCGCTCTGTGGTGTGCAGTACGGAAACACCGGGGTCTTCAAGAGAAGAAAACTGACTCCCGGTCAGAGTAACCGTCACTAACAACGCCGGGCAAATCGCAGGCGGTACTTCCTCAACACTTCGCTTTCAAGCCAGCGCCTGGAGCCTCACTACTTCGGACGGCACTCTCCCCGCGAGGCCGACACTGGCTAACGACTCTCCTACCCGCCCGCCAGGCAGTGCTAGGCCCCGACCAGCCCGTGAGGGTGGGATCACTGTTATCCCCACTACACGGCCGCGGAAGCCGGGCCCCGGGTGACTGGTCACTCGGGCGAGCTCCAGAGCGGAGCCCGAACAGCGCCGGGACCTAAACCGCCACAGGCGAGGAAGCAGTTCAAGCCGGTCTCCCGCCTCGCGCCGCGGAGGTCGGCAAGACTTACCCCTCAGGCTTGGGAGGGCGCGCCCGCCGCCGCCGCCGCCGCCCCCGCGGAGCCATGGCGCCGCTCTCCACGCCCTCGTAACCGACCGAAAGCGCCCTCGCAACTGACTGGAATCGCCCCCCTAACTGACTGAAAGCGACCGCGAGACTGAAAGCTCCCGCCAAGCCCCGCGACGCTCCGAGCAGCCAATCCAAGCCGAGCACGCGCGCATGCGCCGGACTTTCTCAGCGGGCCCCGGGCTCCACCCCGGCCTGGAACGTAAGGAAAAACCGGGCCTGGTTATAACAGCGCAACGGAGCTGGAGTCCATGCCGCACAATCAGTTGCCTACGGTCCGCCTTGACCAAGGTTATTCCGGGCTTTCCCTCCCACCCGCACCGCCAGTTTTTCTACGCCCGGAAGCCTCGGAGCCGCGTGGGCCCGCCCCTTGTGGGGCGGGGAAAGAGGAGGGGCTAGTGTCCCCGAGGTTGTGGGCAGGTGAGTGGGTGGGCCTAGCCTGGTGGTCGCACCTGTTGTTGATGCCGCTGAGGCCGCAGTCGTCCTGCCAGACAGGATTTGGCTTCCAGCCCCTGCTGCTTTTACCAGCTGTCTGAGCTTATGCTACTTTACTTCTATCCCAGGACCTTCGTTTATCAATGGTCCCCGTTCCTTTTGGAGCTAATATTCGCCCCTTCTTTTGTTTCTGTGTAAAAATGTATACTGCAAAAGAATGAAATTGAATCCTTACCTTACACCGCATATAAAAATTAACGCAAAATGCATCAAAGACCTAAATATAAAGGCTAAAATTATGAAACTCTTAGAAGAAAACAGGGCAAAAGCTTCATGACGTTGCACCTGGCATCATTTCTTGGCTATGACACCAAAAGCAGTTTGGGATGATGAAAACGTTCTGGAAATAGTGGTGGACGGATGCACAAGGTGAAGGTACTTAGTGCCACAGAGCTGTAAATTTAAAAACGGTTAAAATGCCAAATTTGGTTATATTTTACGACGATAAAAATATTACCTTTCATGTATGTGAAAGAATATAAGATGTGTAATGTAAGGATAAAAAACATCCGTGTAACCAGCACTGGATGGGGATATGAATCTTCATATATAACTCTTCGGTACCCATCTGAATGGCACCCTCCTCCTCCAAAGAATAACCACTCTTCTGATTTTATGTGTATCATTCTTATGCTTTTCTACTTTGATATATCCCCAAATAATGTATTGATTATTGTATGTTTGTAGACTTTCTATATTTGGTAGGTATTCTTCAAGTGCCTTTTCTTACTAAAGCTATTAATTTATTTTTTATTTATTTTTCCATAAGTTATTGGGGTGCAGGTGGCATTTGGTTACATGAATAAGTTGTTTTTTTTTTTTTTTTTTTTTTTTTTTGAGACAGAGTCTTGCTTTGTCGCCAGGCACCAGGCTAGAGTGCAGTGGTGCCATCTCAGCTCACTGTAACCTCCGCTCCCAGGTTCAAGCAATTCTCCTGCCTCAGCCTCCTGAGTAGCTGGGACTACAGGTGCATGCCACCATGCTCAACTAATTTTTGCATTTTAGTAGAGATGGGGTTTCACTATGTTGGCCAGGATGGTCCCAATCTCTTGACCTTGTGATCCACCCACCTTGGCCTCCCAAAGTGCTGGGATTACAGGCGTGAGCCACCCCGCCCGGCCTACATGAGTAAGTTCTTTAGTGGTGATTTTTGAGATCCTGGTGTACCCATCACCCGAGAAGAATACACTGTAGTAGTATATATGTTGTCTTTCATCCCTCACTTCCACTCTTTCCTAGGAGTCCCTAAAGTCCATTGAATCATTTTTATGCCTTTGAGTCCTTATAAAAGCTATTACTGTTAGATGTATCCACATTGTATCTACATCGCATGTAGCTGCAGTTCATTCATGTTCAGTCTTTGGAATGCATAAGTAAATATGCCATATTTTATTTTTTATCTGTTGTCTTGTGTGTGGATACATCAGTTGTTTGTAGTACTTTGCTGTTACCAACAGTGCAGCACTGAACATTCTTGCAGGAGGCTTGCAAAGGACCTAAGAGTTTCTCTAGGGATAGATTCAGTAGCGATATTACTGCTACGTAGGATATAGACATTTTCAGCTTTCCATGATAATGCAGTGTTTACACATTGTAAATGATACAGTTTACACCCCCCACCCCCACTGGCTCCACATACTATCAATACTCAACATTTTAAAGACTTTTACATTTTTTATCTATCTAGTGAGTTAAAATGGGTTTCCAAACCAAACCTGTCGGGTTTTGGTTTGCATTTCTCATAAGTTGATCAACTTTTTATTGTTTATAGGTCATTCCTATTTCCTCCTCAGTGAAATGCTTGTTTACCTGGAAATCATGTGGGCAACTGCCATAGAAGGGGATCACCTGTAAGGTATTGAAGGTGGTTCCCTGCGGGTGGGTAGAAATAGGTTCCTGGAGCCACTACACGTAGTTGCCCTGAGGAGAGTGAGAAGCTCCCTTTCCTAGGAAAGGGGATGTGGTCAAACTGCTTGTGCTTTCGGGTCTGAAAAAAGAAACTACCCAGTTGCCAAAACAAGACGGGGTTCAGCACTCTAGGTGGAAATAACAAAAGCTCAACCCAAATACGTTTAAATAATGAAAGAAAATCAGGAGCGCGCATCACTGAAAAGTGCGGAGGTAGAATGAGTGTCCAGCGGGGTCGGATGGAAAGGCTTGAGAAACCAGCAGGGCTCTGTGTCCTTTGGCTTGCCCACCTCGTACATCGACTTCTCCTCGGGCTGGGTCTTCTCTTTTCCCACTCTTCCTTCCGGATTTACCAAGCACTTCTGATGCCGGCGTTGTCTTAAGTGGTTAGTATCTGTTCATTCCTGTAATCCTCTCAGTCACCCTATGCAGTAGGCACTGTAATCCCGCGTCTCAGCGGAGGATCCCAGGGAGCAGTCCCACTGACAGGAAGCGGTGCTGCCCACGTGAGCTCCTGGGAGCCTGGTCCAGAGCTTGAAACCCGGCAGCCATTCCAAGTCTGTCTGAATTCCACCATTCAGAGAAAGAGACTTCCTATCTCCGAGCCTTCCCAGAAAAAGGGCTGCCGCACCTACCTGCATTGGGGTTCTCCAGAGAAGCAGAACCAATGTACATATGGGGACAGCGGGGAGACATTTTAAGAACTGGTTCGTGTGAATGTGGAGGCCGGCACGTCTGAAATCTCTAGGAACAGGCCCACAGGCTGGAAATTCAGGTAAGAATTATGTTGCCTTCATGTGTCCAAAATCCACCAAGCAGGCCAAGCAGCCTGGAAACTCAGGCAGAGTGTCTGTGGTGCAGGATTGAGGAGAATTCCTTCTTCAGGAAACCTCAGTCTTAAGGCCTTCAACAGATTGTGTGAGTCCCACCCACTTTGTGGAGGGTAATGTGCTTCAGTGAAAGCCCACTGATTTAAACAGTAATCACGCCTAAAAAAACGCCTTCATGGCAATACCTAGACTGGCGTTTGACCAAAAAATTGGGCTCCATAGCATAGCCAAGTTGATACCTAACGTTAAGCATCACACTGCCCCTGAACCAATCCCTGCGGCCTGGGAAATGGAATACCCTCATTAGCTTCCTGGGACCACCTGGATTCCCGCTGGAACTGGAGTGGCGGGTAGGGGGCTGTAAATTGGGAAGGGGGGAAATGGATGCTGCAAAGACAGATAAATCCACGACAGAAACTTGCCCAGGGTTGTAGAGCTATTTGTAAGGAAGCTGGAATTCCAGCGCACTTCTGCCTTTGCTCCGTGCTGCTTCTCCAGTTAGACTGTCAGCCTAGAGCAGTGATTCTCAGCTTGGGGGAGGGGAGGGCAGAGGGAAAGAGGGAGACCAGGATGCCTGGGGCAGGGTAACCTGATAAAGCCAGTGCATGCCATCACAGGAAGGAGACTCCCAGGGTGCTCTGGGCAGAGGTTGTGTGAGAGTCCTACCTACGATTCTGACCCAGAATAGCCATCCCAGAGTTTCTGTAGTGATTTGTGTCATTGAGGATGGAAACCACAGCATCTGTGTGAGCTTCTGGATATGGAAAGCCAGGTAGGGAGCCTGGTTTGGGGTGGCAGGAAGAGAACACAAAGGCTCATCATAAGACCTTGATAAAAATATGGGGCTAGAGGCTGGCCATAGGGGAGAAGGATCTGTAGAGGGGAGAGGAGATGCCCAGCAGATTTGAGCCAATCAATAAACTCCCTGCAAGGAGAATGGTGGGTTACATTTTAGAGAGGCCATGGCCAATATTTTTCATTAGAAGATGGTGCTGCGTTGTGCTGGTCTCTTTCCACCAGTTAACCGTTAGGAAAGTTTGCTAAACTCCACAGGCTTGTGTTTCTAAGGGGCAATGAGGAAGGAAGGACCCTTACAGTAGGCAGGCATGAGCAGGGCAGGAGAGGGCCTCTCTACCCAGGAATGTCAGGCAGCCACCAGATGATGGTCGGGCAGTTGTTAAACTGTTTCTCTAAAGTAGTAATTGGTCACAGCCAGTACCAGGGAAACTCAGTTTCCCAATAGAAAACATCTGAAGCTGGTGATTAGCAGCTTCCTGATAAGATCTCAGGATCTGGGTGGGTGAGCTCAAGCACACGCACTAAGAAGAAAATGATGGAGTTTAATTAGTAGATGGGAGAACGCCTCAAGTGAGCATGTGCACAACTTCAGTAAACACTGCGTTTGCGGCCCCTCCCAAGTGCTGGCAGGCCACAGCACATCAGGACAGCCCACCCCATGGGAACAATCAGGGGAGAGGTAACACCACCCCCTCCCTCAAAGGATGCTAACATACAAGACCCCAAGCCAAAGGTCTCACAGCACACTTGAATCTCTTATGTCCCCTCTTGGCCCTCTTCCAAGTATACTTTACTTCCTTTTGTTTGTGCTCTAAAACTTTTTAATAAACTTTAACTCGGGCTCTGAAAGTTGGCTCTGTCTCTCACTCTGCCTTATGCCCCTTAGTCAAACTCTTCTGAGGAAGCAAGAACTGAGGTTGCTGCAGATCTGTGTGGATTCGCTGCTGTTAAGAAGATAGGGTGGGGTGAAGCATGCTTGTTGGGAGGGATGGGCTAAAAACACAGGAGTAGAGGTAGTGTGGTCAAGGTCCTAGAGGTGACCTGAAGCAA